AAAACAAGAATATCTGATGCCTCCAGAATATGGGCTCTGATATCCCCCTTAAGGTTTCTCTTTGATCCAGTTCTTTGTCTAGAACTTTAAGTTTATACCTTTGGGGCATTCGCCTCTTAAAATGTCTGACCCTCTGAGTATACACGTGCCTCCGTCCTCAAGCACCTCACGCCATTGTTGAAATTCTAGAAATGGTACCAAGGAAACCCAATTTTCTTTGTAAACCTGGAAAACAAAGCTGTCTCACAGGGCCTGCTATTCTTCCCAAAGTTTTTGTGAGGGTACGGTTCACATCAGCTACCTAATTAAATCTGTTCTGCCTGCCTTATTCTGGGGCTGTCAGCTTCTGTGAAATAAAATGCCTAAAATCTGGTCTGTCCCAGGCATCTAGCACTTTGTGCACACCTTTCCTGGCAAGCAGCATTGACCTTCCCCACAGTATGTCTATTTGTTGTTATTTTTGTGGTAGCAGAAGTATGCTAGATGCTAATGAAGCACTTATATTTAGTAAGTGCACTGTTACGTGCTGGCTGTGAAGCTGTCAGCAGCACTGTGAAAGAGCACAAGCCTAACACAAAGGTGCACTGCACTGGGTGTGGGATTTTTATGCTATATGGAAGGAAAGTACATTTAATGAGTTTATTTTGGTTAGCCTTCAGTTTAGTTTCAGGCCTGCCAATACTGACATCATTTTTCCAAGCAGGGAGCACCAGCTAAGACTTCTCTGCATCACTATCCTTGGGGTGGGCCTGTGTGTGGGCTGATGCAGTGTTCAGCACTCCAGATCATTTCACTTTGGCATCCATTCTGCTTCTGCTGTCTCTATCTCCATATTCTATTTTAGGTGCTTACAGAGCACCAATCTCCTTAACTAAAATATAACTGAAACAAGATATTCAGCATCAAATAAGCAAAAAGCAAATCACTCAAAATAGACTATGTTATTATTATGGGGTTAAATCACTTAAACATAGATATCTTCCTACTCCTCCTCCCACTTCTTTCTTTAGTTTGTCTCATCTTGTTCTCTCCTCAGGGATGTACTGCTGGCCCACAAGATTCTGGAAAAAAAAAATAAATAAAAAAAATCTGTTCCATGATGGGTTCATGGGTGTCATCTAGCTTGATTCTTGTAAAAAGTATGGTATCATTAGAATCTCAACTGTCCTGAGATCCTCATGTCAGCCCCTCATCCTCCACTAAGGCCAGACAGCATCTTTAAAGAAAGAGTGAACCTCTATAGATACCCTTACCAGACCCTCATTCAGGTTGCTCCAGCTGGGTTTTCGGTAAAGTAAGGGATCTCACACCACTGTCCCAGGCCAGCAACCACAGTATTGCATTGGCATGAAGACTCAGCTACATCTAAACCTGCACTTCAAAGTATAGTGTATTACTAGGCCTGAGGGTATGATGAAAAGGGTGAATTTTTAATTAGGCACCCAAAGGAAGGATGTTGAGGAATTACTGTCAATGTGCTAGAGACTTCAGTTTGCTACAGGACATCTAAGTAATTTGATGAGACCCCAGGCTTCTCTTATCACCTGCTCCTTGCTTGGGGCTTGTGTGGAAGTGTTTGAGGCCAGGTTGGATAGGGCTTTGAGCAACCTGGTCTAGTGGAAGGTGTCCCTGCCCACTGCAGTGGGGTTGGAACTAGGTGATCTTTGAGGTCCCTTCCAACCCTAACCAGTCTGTGATATCTCCCTGGTGTTGTGCCCTCGGCAGTCAGCACTACGGGTTCTGCTCCTGACTCTCAAAGGTGCTACGGCTGGCATTCACTATTAACTGAAAGCCATTGCAGGGCTCTCAGCTGCGTCTCCAGCAAATGCCATTTGCCGGCTTAGCACAGGCGGCTCTGCAGCTCCTCTGGAGTCACTTTAAAATTTGCCTGAATTGAGGGTTTGGCTCGACTCGACTCTGGTGACGCTCCACGGTCTCCACGAAGGGACATTAACGTTGCGATTAACATTGTAACCATCAGCAGGGGCCCGGGCTGTGCAGCCCATAACGTTTTGATCTCGTAGAGCTTCCTGTAGGCTCCTGAGTACAGCTTTATTTCCACCCTCCCTCCCCTTTCCCCAGCCAGCGGGGCCGCAGCGGGCTAGGGCGCCGGCCGTTGGTTGCCCGGGCAAAGGCGCTCTGCGCCCTACCCGCTCCCACAGCGTCAGCGGAGGAGAGACAGCGGATGAGGCGCCGGCAGCAGACAAGCCCGCTTCCCTCGGCGGGCAGCCCGTGACAGCGAGTCACCCGCCTGCGCCTTCGCCGCCGGTAGGGCCTATATTCTCTCGCGGAAGGTTATCGTTCACTAGCACGGCGCCGTCCGACGGCAGCGGTGCTGAGGCTCTGAGGCAGCGCTTTGTCAAGAAGCGCCTGATTGGCTAAACGGACTCTGCAATGGTTAGCTGGTAAGAGTCAAGCCCTGTGATTGGTTGCGTTGTACCTGCAATGCGTCAAGTGAAGGTGCTGGAGTGCGTGTGCTGGAGTGTTGTGCTGCCTGGGGAGGAACCGTGGCCGGCTCCCTGGGTGGCGGCGGTCGCCCGCAGCCTGGCCCCGGGCGCGCCCGCAGAGACCTGCGAGAGCCCTAGGGCTCTCGCCTCTTCCTGGCAGTATCAGCAGCAGTAGGGCTACGTTTCCCGCCTCTTCATGCTGCCGCAGCTTGCAGCAATAGCAATTGCTTGGCTCATGAGCCAGACCTGGCAGGAAGAAGGTTTTCCTCAGTTATCTCTTTGGAGTCAGGATTCTGTACCAAAAAGCAGCAGAAAGTTGTTTGTTTGTTGTTTTTTTCTCACTGCTTTCCCACAGCACAGGGTCACAGAGGCACAAAATGTGGCGGTAGAAATTCGTTTATTCTGCCCTTCCATTATCAGTGTGAGAAGTGTTTCTTGGACTGCTGCTCGAAATGACAGTTTGAGTGACAGTTGGAGGAGGATGCGCACGATAAAGTGATGAGTGATCTCTTAAATATCTTGCTGAAACGCTGCAGAATCTTTCAACACAAAGAGACACTTCTGCAAAATTAGCCTCAAGCTGCAAAGCTGCACAGAGGCACAGGAGGCTGGCCTGCATCCATACGGGATTCGGGAACATGGTTGGGTGTCTGCCCCCTTGGTCCTAGCCAAAGCCCGCTGCAGCCTTCTTGCATAAGGAGCTGCAGGCATGCCGTAACCACTTGTGTGGTGGGTTTTGTGTGTCTCTAATTGAAATAAGCACAGTTAAACCAGAAGCAAACAACAAAGCCGCCTCTGCACCAGTAAGAGGCTTACAGGACCACTTTAAACATGATGGGAGTTTCAAATCAGCAAAATCTTCCCGGCACATCTGCAAAGCTACGTCTAAACGTAGAAGTAGGTTACAGACACTCCTATCTAAATTCTTCAGTATTTCTGTTACTGGAATGTTTTCATTGCTCTTTTTCAAAATCCCATTCTTGATGAGTGAGTCAGCAAGAAGTCTGTGAATGTGTCAGGGAGCAGTATTTTAAACTAGGTTTCACTGCTAAGCAATTATTAAAGAGCATGTTTACATATGAAAATATTGCAATTTTGTAAATGGACATAACGGCCCGATTTCTTGACTCTAGCAAGAGTTCTCTTCCTAATTACAGTTTTTAGGATGACATTCCTGATGTGCTCTTGGGAGGATTTTGAGTTAAATTCCATGGTAATTTGTTTCGTTTATTCTGTTTGCTTGCTAGGACGTAGAACACTTTTTATTTTAAAATTATCATGATTTCCTTTTCACAGCTTTACTGAATACAAGCTGCTTTCCTGCTGGCATGAACACTTCCTACTGTCTTTTATTCCAAGGAATTCTTTCAAAATATTAAAAACAATCTAGCCACTTTTCCTTGTAGTCCTAGCTAAGTGGAACAGGTGCAATGAAACCTTTATGGGAAAATTATATGCCTATGTAATGATAATGTTTATGAGTGAAAGTTTGCTAAAGTGAAACATAAAAGCAAAACTGCAAGCTCATTCAGTTTCTTACTTGGTCATTTAAAGTATGATAGCATTTTTGAAAAAAAGACAGTTTTTAAAATCTTAGCCTGAGGTCTTAACAGATAGAAAGGAAATGGGTTTAACACACTGGTAAAAGCATCACACAGCATTCTGCAGAACAACCTTAAACATTATGTATTATTCATAAAGCCAATTTTTTGTATTAATTCACTATAATGACTGTACAAATAATAGAACTACATTAATGTCAAGAGAACCTGAAGAAAGCTTTTAGAAGTGACATCATCATTCAATGGGAAATAAATATACCAATTTCAAGGTTAACAAGTAAATCATAGTTGCCCCAGATAGTAAAGCAGGCTGTTTAGAAGATGAACTCAAGAGCCTTAGTATATTCAGGACAGCAGTGATAGTCTAAGAATTGGCTTGCTTTGAGCACAAGTTGCTAGAATGGGTCATTGTGAATAAATACCAACTACGTGTTTATTAGAAAGCGTTACATTGATCAAATTTAGGTAATTCCAAATCAATCAACTCTGAATGATAGTGCTACATTTTCTTTTTCTACAGGTGCTCTATGTAGGCCATGTCCAAAGCCATCAGTAAGCACGGAAAAGGTAATATGGAGTAGTAAGCTGAGTTCATTACGGTTCTAAATATATCACATTAAAAACATTCTGATTAAAAACATGCACCATCCATTTAAAGCAACCATTTTAAAAGCAATGTATTTACAGTAATGTCATTACACTAACATCTGTTAAATATATGCAGGTCTGCCATCTTATGGAGCCTGAATGGTACTGCCAAATAACAGAATATGGAACTACATGTTCATATTAGAAGAATAGTTTCAATTTTCCCTTTTCATGTAATCTGTCCTTTCTTCTAAAACTGGCACCATTTGACTCATTGTTTCTATGTGATATGTGTTTCTTTGTAGTATTATTTCTATGTGATACTGCGTTTATGTATGCATGCAAGTGTACACATGTAAACACAGTCAATAAAGGCATTACAATTGCTGCAAAATTATTTTCAGGTGAGAAGGATTCCTCAGGAAGACCTTATTACTTTGCTTTTGAAAAGTTTGAGGTGAGTTAGGAAGATGGTTGATCCAAGTGATTATGTTACTGTCAGATATTGTAGAGGAGCACTTAAGCAAGTTGTCCAGCTTTCAGTAAAGTTTTTCAGAGTCCTACTATTTGCTGGAAAATGTGGTAATGTAAATCTGGAATGTAAACACTTAGGAGGGTGTCTGATTTCAATGAGTTGTACCTGTACTAGGAAATACTCTTCATTATACTTTCTCCATTTAGTGTCATTTGCAAATATACACATCTACCCTGACACTCTTGCTGGGAAAAGGCACTGAGCACAAACTGTCATTTAAATTACTGTTAATTGTATCTGATGATGTGGAATACTACTTACCACCACCAACAGAAGTCTTAGAATAATTGGTTTTATGTGAGAACAAACGGAGTCTTCACCTTTTCAGTTATTTCCCACTTATAAGAAAGGTTTTCTCCCACATTTGATGTTGCCTGACTGTAGTACTGTATTACGTGTCAGAGCCCAATTGCCTCTGACAAAGTTCTTTTAAATACTCCACATAAGGGTTTTACGTTTAATATCAAATTTGCTTATTTGTTTGGGTTGAAGCCAGATCAAACCCATTGCTCTCTCCAAAGCACATGTTGTTGGTTGCTCACTTTCTGTACTCTGTTTTTGGCTGAGCCACATACATACACACTTCTCCCCTGCCATGTTGACCTGGCCAGCTCAGGAAGACATTATTCTCTATTAGTTGTCTCAGGGAGGGCTGCTGTCAGTATAATGACCCACTGATACAGCCATGTATCTAAAACAAAGGTTACCCTCCAGTCCCCATTGTGTTAGGTTCAGCTTTAGGGTAATTGCTGGTCATTCTTTACAGTCTTCCCTGAGATGGTTATTCTTATGCTCATCTCCTCTAAGCCTTGTTCCGTTGTAGGAGGATGTAGGTTGGTCACATTCCACCCCTTGGCTCAGCCCAGCATTCACCAATTATTGGACAGTGAGCTTCATACATATGTCATATGAATTACCAGCCCACTTGCCTCTGCACAGTGAAAGTGGGAGCATATGGGAAACTGGTTATTTACAGTTTCAGAATGTAATTTGAGTTAATATCATGTACTATTTGATTTTTCAGGTAACAGGTCAATACCAAGGTTACAAGAAACAACATGATGATTATTAACAATAGAAGCATGAGATGTAACATTGGTTTCAATACATTGGTAGCTTTTGGTGACAAGTCTTTAAAGATACCATGCCAGTGAAGTTTAGTAAGTCTGGTTTCCACTTTCACTAATTGAAACAGTTAATTCTTATCATATACCGTTTTTAATTGTCTTTCATCTAAACATTTTCAATTTCTAACACATGTTGGGTAACTTTGGCATTTTGTTTGAGAAAGGCATCTTGTGGATCAAAGATAATTCCACATGTTACTGTATCTTAAATGGTGTAAAATAAGACATCTTTTGTTCAATCAACAAGAAATCAATCTGTAAATCTGTTTGTTAGGTACAGAGCCCATCATTGCACATCAGTTTCATGGGCTTCCATTATGGGTAACAGCTTACCAATTAAAATTGGTTTTAAAGTAAGAATGGGTACACATAACTTTATTTCCCTTTCTTGAATTAACGGCTCAGTAGTTAGCAGCCTCTCACGCAGCTAACAGCACTTTCTCAAATGGAGTATAGTTGGGAGCCTTGCCACAATTTGCAACAAAATGTAATAGATAAGCTTTTTTACTTTGCACATCTTGTTGCCATAATGCCTGTTGATATCCCTCATAACCTATGCCTATATATATTCTTTATATATATTCTCACATATATATTCTGTATATATATTCTGTCCTATATTCTCGCAGCCCAGAAAGCCAGCTGTATCCTGGGGGTGATCCTAGAGGTGATCCTGCCCCTCTACCCTGCTCTTGTGAGACCTCACTTGGAGTACTGTGTGCAGTTCTGTTGTCCTCAATATAAAAAGGACATGGAACTGTTGGAACAAGTCCAGAGGAGGGCCACGAGGATGATCAGGGGACTGGAGCACCTCCCATGTGAAAATAGGCTGAGAAAGTTGGGGCTGTTCAGCCTGGAGAAGAGAAGGCTGTGTGGAGACCTCATAGCAGCCTTCCAGTATCTGAAGGGGGGCTATAAGGATGCTGGGGAGGGACTCTTCATTAGGGATTGTAGTGATAGGATGAGGGGTAATGGGTTAAAACTGAAACAGGGGAAGTTTAGATTTGATATAAGGAGGAAATTCTTTACTGTAAGGGTGGTGAGGCACTGGAATGGGTTGCCCAGTGAAGTTGTGAATGCTCCATCCCTGGCAGTGTTCAAGGCCAGGTTGGACAGAGCATTGGGTAGCATGGTTTAGTGTGAGCTGTCCCTGCCCATGGCAGGGGGGTTGGAACTAGATGATCTTAAGTTCCTTTCCAACCCTAACTATTCTATGATTCTGTTATTCTATATGAAGACTCCTTGGGGCCTATATGAAGTCTCCTTGGGTGTGCAGGGATAAAAGGTCTCATAGATTGGTTGGTAAAATGTCATCATTTAAAGCATTTAATATTTCATGATGGTTTTGTTCCCAAGTCCATATAGCATTTTTCTTCACCAAGTTATAGAGATCCCCCTAACATACTGAATCCAGGAATGTGTGACCTCCAAAGCCCAAACCTTCCTAATAAAGCTTATAACTCCTTTTTATCAGAATGTGCTTGAATACTCTGTGTCTCTGATAATACAAATTCTGCAACTGTGTTCTGTTCTCCTATCCATCATGTACCTAAAAATATGACTACTTAACTTGGTCCTTGTTGTTTCAAGTCAGGAACACTAATACTTAATAAGTGCAGGACAGCAGCATTGATACATTTACTCAACATGCCCTCCAGTTACAATATCATCTGTATATTGCAAAATTGTTACTTCAGGTGACAGGATGACTGATTCTAACTGTTTATCTAAGGTGGCATGGGCAAAAATGGGTACATGTTTAAAACCTTGGGGTAGGTGATAAAAGGTATACTGTCTTCCACCCCAAGTACATGCAAACTGTGGTTTGTCTTGCTCACGTATTGGGATCAAAAAGACCATACCTTTTGTAGCTAACACTCCCATCCACAGAAGAGCGTGTTCATATCTACTGTGCTGGAATGTTAAAGTGCAAGTTGCTTTATTGAAAGCCCTGCAGTCAGTAGTCATGTGCTGTATACAATCTCTTTTTTTTTTTTTTTAAAAGGCCATACCGGGCTGTTACATGGTGGGTGAATTCTTTCTATAGTACCCTATTGCTCTAATTGTTTGACTAATTCTGTCACAGGTTTTATGGCAGGAGTTTCTGGCTCTGAGCCTCCTTTCATTGTGGGGGTGTGTTGATCGCTCACAGCATGTGGATAACTTCCTGTGTGTAAACTTGAACTTGTCTGTTATTCATCCTAGCATAGATTTCATGACTACGAAACAGACTGATACAGAGCATGGGCTTGCAGGATTAATCCATTAGATAGGGGTAAGACTTTGGTGCAACTGGTAGTGTCAAACTTATGTTCCCAGACTGGTCTGCATGAAAGTTCAGGAAGATACGTGCTTCCATACCTGCCTTCTTACATCACTTCTGTACCTGTGTCCATGCATCACATACTTAAGCCCCAAGTTTTAACTCACCTTGCTCATCTTTACAAAAAGGAGCCAGCTCCGTTCCCTCATCCACCTCCACACACATCAATGTCACATTTTCTACCTTGTCTTGTTCCCAGAGTCTTGGAAAAGGTGGATCTGGCTAGGCTTCTACAGTGGGGGCAAAGATGGCAGAGAGGCAAATGCTCCTGGTCCGGACAGGAGCAAGTAACTCCCCATCAGCTGACTAGTGTTAGCTGCTGATCATACACAACTCCAGGTTTAAAGGAGCTTACTCATGCATTACACATGCTGTTTCAGAGTAACTGCTCTATGCCACAACATACTACAGACACAGGGAGATTTTGCAGTGTGACTTGGACCTACTTTTGCAGTGGTAATTGCTCCACAGCTCTGATGAATATGCATCTGCCATTTGTGTCTTTACTTGCAATTTAAAGAGTCTTTAAAAAGCAAAAATCATAGAATCATAGAATAGTTTGGGTTGGAAGGAACCTTAAAGATCATCTAGTTCCAACCCCCCTGCCATGGGTAGGGACACTTTTTACTAGACCAGGATGCTCAAGGCCCTGTCCAACCTTGACTTGAACACTGCAGGGATTCATAACTTACTTGGGCAACCTGTGCCAGAGCCTCACCACCCTCACAGTAAAGAACTTCTTCCTTATATTCAAACTAAGTCTGCTCCTGTTTAAGTTTGAACCCATTACCCCTTGTCCTGTTACTACAGTCCTTGATGATTAGTCCCTCTCTGGCACCCTTGTAGGCCCCCTTCAGATACTGGAAGGCTGCTATGGGGTCTCAACACAGCCTTCTTTTCTCCAGGCTGAACAGTCCCAATTTCCTTAGCCTGTCTTCATATGTGAAGTGCTCCAACCTCATTATCATCCTTGTGGCCCTCCTCAGCCTTTTTCCAACAGTTCCATGACCTTCTTATACTGGGGAGCCCCAGAGCTTAACACAGTACTCCAAGTGAGGTCTCACAAGAGCAGAGTAGAAGGGTAGAATGATCTCCCTGGACCTGCTGGTCAAGCTTCTTTTGATGCAGCCCAGCATATGGTTGGCTTTCTGGGCTGCGAGCACCCATTACTTCTCAATATATTCTCATACATTCTCATAAAATATTATTGTTAATCGACAGGATTATTGTTTGAATCTGACAGCACCTCAGTGCTTAAACCCTCGCTATGTTTTTCTGCTTAAATTGATCAGAAGCTGATCCTAAATAGAAGGGAAAACAAAATGTGGATCAAACTTTTATGCAAAGTTGCATTAAAAAAAACAAACTGACTGCACAGATTAAAACATATTTGAGTTAGTATGTTGAGAAACATATACTTTCTTCAGGTCCCAAACAACAGGGATGTCACAGGAAGGTCAGAGGTTGATACATGGAAAATACTATTCTGAATCAGACTTGGGATCAGACTGGGCCACTATCTTTCTACAGCTATGGCAAGATCAGGTCCGTGAATCAAGTACTCACCAATGGGAACAGGATACCATCTATCCCATAAAATACTATATTCTTAACTGTAACAGTGATAGATTTTCGTAAATGTGAAGCGTGACATGTAATAAGGCTTCCAGAATAATTGTCAATCAATTGCAGTTTGGTATTCATGCACATTTTAGAATTTACTCAATTCTCGACCATGTAATTACTCATTGATTTGGCAAACATTAAGTATATTACTTTTCCAAAGATGATACAAGATTCTATGCACCACTACAAAGCAGGCAACGTTCCAGCTCTCATGTTTAGTTTGAGAAATTAACACACAGTAAACTGCTCTAAGCTGACTGTATTTTTTAACTTAAGAAATCATATTTGGATTCTGATGTTAATTTGCAGTATCAACACATCTTAAGCTGGATGCTTAGTGTTTTACTCACACATAATGTTTTGGGGGTTTTCAAATAATTCAGAACAGCTTTTTCTAGTTATTTTCATTTAGCCCAGAATTTGTTTTTTTCCCATTTAACAATAAAAGACTGCACAGATGGCTGCGAAACAGAACCTTCAAACACAGCCGGATTTGTACGTTTGTGCTGATTTCTTGCTTAAGGGAACTCAGTTCAAAATGCTGTACTGCCAAATCCATCCCTGCAGTAATTCTCTTGGCTTCAGTGGATGGCCACATGGGGTTGCCTGTGATATCTGGCTAAGCTATGAGATTCAGTGCAATTCCAAAGGGATTTGTTTGACAATATGAAAAAATGAAGTCTGAAGAGCATGCTGCTGTGTCAGTCATTGAGCAGTAACCCATTTTGTTCAAAGTAGTGGCCATAAGAGCCACTTTCCATTCAGAAACCACATGAAAAAATTAAAATTTACATTGATTTAGATAATGGGCAGTAGAAAATGTTGTATTTGCACTGGGTCACATGCAGGTGCAGACAACAGGAGGGTCAAACAGTCCGGCTGGTTTTCTGAGGATTTAGAGATCATTTCAGACCTGAGGAAGTGGTCTGGAAGCTGCTGTAATTCTATCTGTGCGGCATCAGAATTGCCAGAAGGAGATTTTTAGAATACAGCTGCCTACAGAGAGTCTGGGAACTACAGGTAAATGAATTGCTCCTAGTCATCTGAATTTCTCTGTGCTCCGTAAATCAGAATATTATGCCCATTTTTCCTAAATAAAGGGGGTCATACCACATTTCATCAATTTCTTTTGCTAATGAAAACTATCTTAAAGATGTGGAAAGCTGGCTGACTCTTTGGGCCAAAAAGAATTGGCATTACTAGAGAACATAATATCACACAAGATTGCAACATAGGAACCGGCCAACAGGCTGTTTGGCTTCATTGGTATTGCTCATATGGGGCAGACAAAACACATAAAAATTAAAATCCTGAAGCTAACTGATTTAATGACGTTGTGCACCTTATCTGAATATTTCTAATTTTCTAAGAATTTCTAAGAATGAGTTAATTTCTAAGAATTAATTTTAAATTTTTGATGATCTGTTAAAGCAAAGTGATAGCTATTACATTAGAGTAAAAATACTTGTGTTCACTTGGAAATCGGCTTACTTTTAGGTGGCAAACTGTATTATTTTAAAATAATCCAGAATGGTAAACACATTTATGATGCAATATAAATATCACAGAAAAATCAGCTGCAAAGCTACTAGATAGCACTAAAATATACTTTCACTCTGAGAGGTGATGGTTTTATCATGGTTTGCAGGAAACTACTGTGCTTGCAAGCTTTGCTTTAGCACTGTAACAGACAACCAAGAAAAAGTTGCCTTATAACCAGCAGGATCCTCTGTGTCATCCAGCTCAGTCAGGCTGGAACTGAGCCAAAGAGAGAATGCCTCTCAATATCCTATTCCTAATTGTAATGTTTCCTGTTTTCTTTTGCAAGTAATACTTTATAGTGTAAATGCTTCACTGGTAGTGTCACCTGTGACATTTTGGCCTTTTCATTCTGCTCCCATACTTTCCTCCAGAAACTGGCCAAGCTTCTTGCTGCTGACGTTTCAATGCTATCTCCTTAGTTCCCTGTGGGAGAGCTTGTTGGGTCAGATATCCAAACTGGATCCGTGCATGTGTATCGTATTCACCTGACCTAGAAGGCCTCCCATAATCCTGTGTGCTGGGGATCATTTCAGCTGTCTTCACATGCAGCCGGCTGCAATTGGCCTGCAGCCCAGCTGGGTCTGAGCTGTTCCTGAGGGAAGCAGTGAGGTGTGACTGCAGCACGCTGTCACTCCTGGTTCTGGGAACACGGTGAGGAGAAGGCTCAGCTGTTTCAGAGAGGGAACTTTGGTGTGACAGAATTTATGATCTCAAATCTCTGCATGAAGGTGTGTGTGCTGTTTCCAGGCCAGGCACAGTCTTGCATTGGTACAGTGGCGGACCTCACCTAATATCTCTGCCAGATGCACAGTGGTCAGTTTAACATTTGTGGCACAGATAATCTGCAACATAGGTAATCAAATCATAGCTAATTGAGAATTGGCTCAGCGGGTGTTACAAGCCTGCTCTCACTTTTGACGTTGCACAGGCTGTTATTTTACTGCAGTCCAAGCAGCAGTATCAGCTGGAGGTATTTCTGCTTCCCTTGTTTTGTTCCCTCTTCTGCCCATGTCATGCCATCCATTCAGTTGTATTAACACATCTTTCCAAGATTTTTTTTTTTATTCCATTTAAGGACTATTTAAGAAGTCCTACAAGCAGTTGTGTTGGCACAGCTGAGGGGTAGAGGGGGTATTAAGAAGGCTTCAGACTACTCTTGCCATTTTTTATTGTGAAACAGTAGCTACAGGGCAGCTATACTCCTGTAATTCCACTAATTTTAATAGCTGTAAATTACCATTGTAAATTAGGAATAATCTCAAATAAAACAATGCTTCCAAAATCACTAAACATGTTTGCCCTGAGAAGGTGAAATACTAAAAAATTAAAAATGCTGTTAGGCAGCTGGAGATTTGAGGGAAGGTTCTTTCTTCCCTGCAAATAAAATAATTTAGGAATGGTATTAATAAATAGAACTGTTTCATTTTAGCACATGAAAACGGCATTCTCTTTGTTTCAATACTGAACCACCATTTAGAAAACTGCAGGGTTGCAAAATTACAAACCACACACAGTATTCTATAAAACTAGATGGCTTCACAGAGCTGTGTACCACTGTGCACTTCATGGCTTGCTGGGAATGAAAAACAATAAAGCCTCGGGTTTCCCAGTCAGTTTTGTCAGCAACTTCAATGAAGAAAAGGCTACAAACAAAGTGGCTGCAGGGAGTTCTCTACCCCTCAGGCATGGTGTCAGGGGGCTTGTCATTGCTGCTGCCTCCTCTTGCTCCACTTGTGGGAAAGGAAAATGTATGGGGTGGATAGACACAAACGATCACCAGGCTTCAGGAGTCACTTCTAGGAATGGCATATGATAGGTTTTCCTTGAGAAGGTTGAGAATCCTTGTGTACAGGAAAGATCATGGAAAAGGAAAAAAAAAAATAAACAAAGGGAATAAATATAGAGCAAGCACTTTTCCAAGGAGCAAAAGAAAAAAAAAAAAATTCCCTTGACAAGCAAAGGAAATGATGGCTGTTGAGCTGTTTGCTCAACAGGGAAGAAAACTGTCAAGAGTTGGAGAAATCTCCCACCCAATCTGACTATCAAAACACAGCTGGCAACCCCAGGGAAAGAGATCCCTCAACAACAGAGATCACCTGCAAACACTGTATTTCTTTTGAGTTGAGAAGAACAGATTCTATTACCAGAAAACTCTGTTTGGCTACGCTATTAACTAGCATTTAGCATCTCTTATTTTCTAACTCTAGCCTCTCTTATTGCTTTCCTTCCTTGCTAAACTCTTTAGTCTCTCCTTGTACCCATCCCCAACTTCTCTATGTTCCTGACAACTCACTGAACATATTGTGCTGATTATCTGAATATGCTGATCTCTGGGCTTGTCTGCAACAGGTAGTCCTATTAGTTTACCTTTCTCAAATATTTACTGAATAGCAATAAAGGGTAATTACTTCTATCAGCCAAAGAAAAACCCTGATCTTAGCATTTTAAAAGAGAGTGCTTTCTAGACTAAGTCTTAAAATCTTAAGGCTTCATATTTCAGTAGTGGTACTCTAGTACAGGGCCTCCATTAATGCTTATGGCTCTTCAAGCAGTTCTATAATGTCAACATTTGAGTTCTTTTTCCTTTCCAGTATATTGTTACCCATTTGTTTGCTAACAAATCTGGGACACCAACTCACAAACCCAAGGTATAGTGTTCTATAAATGAGCTTGGACAAACCTAGCAGAGCCTGTTTCATGTAGCTCTTCCTTAATGAAGGTTGCTTTGACAGTGTTTAGAGATTCCACAGTTCATATGAGGCTACTGTGTACTTCTGCCAAAGGCTGTAACATAGTTTGGGGTGGAGTGCGGCTTCCCCTTTCAGTGCGTAGGTGCCAGAAGTTTTTGATTTAAGCATATGGTGTGTTTTCTTCATTTAAATGGCAATATGCTTATCTGACAAGGAGCACTTTATTCTAAAACTTGCTGGCACCCTTTTGGTAACAAAGGTGGTAGAGCACCATTTCACTGTTACTTGGATTTTAGGACCTTGAACAGTCCTAAATATCAGGAATCAGTGGTTACAATTCCTGGGAAATATAGCTGCCATGTTTTATTGCTTTCAGTACAAGATTGTCTACTATGGTTGGCTACACTTTAAAGATTAATTAAGTTGCTCTGGATATACTGATGAACACTAATAGTAACTTCTTAGTCATTAAAAAATTGCAAAATATGTTCAGGAACATATTTCTGCATTTCTATGTACTTCTATATGATTTTTCTCTATTTTATATATATATATATGGTTTCTAGTTTGGCATAACAACCTCATGTAATTGCTAGGCTAAATTATACATCGAACAGTTCATATCTAATATGGAAAATAATGGAAAGAGTACACAGAAATGAATGGAATAAGGCTGTTTATCAAAGTAAAGTGTATGGAATAATAAACTGTCACTGAAGCGTTTTAGAGGTTTTCCATATTTAAATAATACTCTTCCACTTGTAGAAGAAATTCTTGACAAATAACACTAAATTACAGAAATTCAGTAGTTTTACTGATTCTTTTGCCCTTTTTTATGTTGTAATTATTTTCCAAATGATCCCACATTGCTCTAGGGAAAGACTTTATTCCTTTTTCGACATGCTTCTCACAATTCTTTCTCTGGTGGCTGTTGATCAAAATGAATAATACACTTCAGGTACTGAGATTTTATTGGGTAATTTTCCCAATACTTTTCCCTCAATAAAGAAACTTCTCACTTGTTTGAAGAGGAAGGGAGACAATACTAAATAGAACTTTTTGTGTGTTTGATTGGTTTTTTTTTTTCTGTCTAGTATGTTAAATAATGAGTAACCTTGGTCCTATAAAGTTTTGGGATCAAGCCTCGTAGGTTTCATGAGGTGTTTAACCTTTAGCAGGATAAAGGTTAATGTTTCCTTCCTTTTGTATTTTAACTTACACCCACCCGTACCCCCCAGATCTCAAATAAAAGTATGAACTACTTTTCTACAAATCTACAGTTAGAAGCAAGATAACCTACAAAAACAATATCCACCAGGTGATTTCATCATTAGAATGCTTAATTATATTAACTTATGTAGACACATTGACTTAGAAGAATTTGGAGTATTCCAGATGATTTCAATCATAACATAAAACATATTTTAAGAAAACACTGGTTATAGAAATCAATCTTTTGGCTTCTTCATTCATAGAGTCACTCATCACTAGCCTGGAATACCTTTTTTTTTGTTGTTGTTGTTGGCTGTAAGCTTTGGTTTCCAATGCTTGACCTTTCAAGAATGACTAGATAATTAGAGGTATCATATCCACCAAGGCCACTGTGGTTACCTCCTACCTTGCTGTTTTGGAGAGATGTGCACAGTATTTTTGAAGCAGAGTATAATTACAGATAGACTCACAGGTATGAGTGAAAAAGAAGAATGCAATCTTTCTCACTCTGTACATGTATCATGTTCCCTCACACATCTGGACCACCCATAACACTTATTTTGCAAGCTGTTGAAGTCTAGCCTGGACTCATGAGCTGGTTGTTGTTCCTTTGTCCTAGTAATGCCTTGGTTCCATCCCAGTGATATTTCAAAGCTTGTATTTCTGAGGGTGGAAAAATACAAATTAAATGGAAGAATAAACAATGCTGTTTTAACAACGAAAGTTTTGGAGGGCTTTTTTAATACCATAACAACAAATGTTGGTAGATTAGACATAGTAATTGAGGTATACAAATGGACTGAATAAATCAGAAGCTTAAGCATGACAGAGATCTGGAATTTATCTAACTCAGAGATGCAAAAACGGTCTGGAATTTACATTCCAAGTATGGAAGCAGGATGAGTAACCATCTCAACAGAGTAAAAAACAAGGAAAAGGTCTATATGGAATGGAGAACGGAAATTATTGAAGCAAGCTGTTAATTGGAGATTTGGAGGCAAAGGACTCAACGATGATTAGCCAAACCTAGACTTTGCTAGATCTTGCAAAGATTAAACCAAAAAGCAAAAGACTAGTGGTTTAGGTAGCACATTGCAACTAGCACAAAAGGAAGGGGAAGCCCTAAAGCACTGATGTTATGTATAATCTAGCTACACTCCCCAGCCTACTGGGGAGTGTAATTTTTGCAGCTTTCAGAACAAAAATGTAGAAAGGAAAGACAAAGCTAAGTTTGCTGTTAGAAGAGAATATACACAACGTGAACCATGGCAGGGAAGCTAAAATAGGTGAACTCAACTTGCTTAAATGGGGAAGCATTAATGACTAATGTAAGAACTAGGGCATAACATTTTATGGCTTGTGGTACAGATTTTAATCCATCTGTTGTATTGTGGTGCTACATAGCAAGTTTCACTTTTTATAAATGTTCAATATACTTGCAATTATTCTGTTAGTTTACAATAACACTCAAAGCTTTAAAACAAATTTTGAAAATAATGAGCACTATGGATACAAATGGAAGATGGGATAAAATGCAGCCCAAGTTTATTAAAGGTAAACTTTAATGGCAGCAGAAGTTTTATGGCTGGAAATGTGATTGATCCAATTGATTTGGATATAAGGAAGAGGTTCTTTACTGTAGGGGTGGTGAGGCACTGGAATGGGTTGCACAGGGAAGTTGTGAATGCTCCATCCCTGGCAGTGTTCAAGGCCAGGTTGTACAGAGCCTTGGGTGACATGGTTTAGTGTGAGGTGTCCCTGCCCATGGCAGGGGGGTTGGAACTAGATGATCTTGAGGTCCTTTCCAACCCTAACCATTCTATGATTCTATGATTTTTATCTCAGCAAAGCACTTGACAACATAGTACCTGTGAGATTATTAGCTGAAACAGGAAATAACACAACAAAATATAAGTTAGATAAAGAAGTGGCTAAAAGAAGGATGAAAATAGGTCTGTGCTGGAAAGGGCACTATGAGACCAGAGAGGGATTTCAAGTGGGGCTTCTTATACCAGCATTGGGCCCAGTCTTATTTTCTAAAGGCACTGGCATAAAAATAACAGCATGCTAACTAAACTTGCTGATGGAAAAAACTAATACACCTTGCTCACAACAATCCATATCAAGAATTTAATTCCTAGAAAACAGGTGACCTAGCAACCTGTAGTAACAGAAGTAAAGTTAAACTTACTACAAAATACAAGGTCATATCCTTAGGGATTAATAACAAGATGTTCTGATATAATGAGGGATTTATCAGAGGAAGTGATAGACTGGAAATGCTCAAGTGTAATTATTGAACCTTATGAGCCACTAGTATGATTCACCAAACTAAACAATAAATGCAGGGCTGTGGAATATTTTCAGTAGAAAATGAGATGCAGGCCATCCTGCAGACAACCACTTTGTCTGTGTACAATTCTAGTTCAGAATATGATCTGAGAAAAGTGAAAAGAATTCAGGGGACTGAGCAACTGATTTTACAAAATTTTAAAATTGCTTTATGGAAGAAAGGCTGAGTGGCATATGATTACTGTCTGTGCATAGATTACATCCAGGTTAGCACCCTGGTGAAGCGAAGAGCTATTTTAAGCCACAGGAAAATGCTGGCCCTGAAACAGATGGATATAAACAGAGCATGAATTAAATTAAGGAGGAAATCAGGAGGCATCAGAAAATGGAGGTTCTGGACCTGTTTTGCAATGGGGGTTATTTGTAAAAAGCCCAATAAATTTAAAAATTGCGTATATGAACAGACTTATGTGGTAGGTTTTCTGCAGAGAAAGCTGAACTCAGACCATCCCTTCCAGACTTACATTCATAAAAGCTTACAGACTAGGGATAAATGGCTAGAGAAACTTGGGGAAAAGTCTAATGAGAAATTAGCATGGATTTTACGTAAGAAATCATGAAACCCAAGGAAAATGCAGCAGAATTGCTAACTGCAATAGAAAATGGAAAATCTCATCAGCTGGTATATACTATGTTTTAAAATGCTAACTATTTAAGTATGCTAACTGTGTTTCATAGGCTGCATTTTAAGAGTTTCATCAGGAATACTACCTCTCCCCCAAATGAAAATATCTCAACCTATGATCCCAAGACACAAAAAGCCCACCCCATTACAGGAACTGGAAGCTTCACCTGTGGCTGCATGATGAAGTCACAAAGCCACATCAAAATGCTGCAAGAAGTTTAATGTTTTCTGTTGGAATGGTATCTAATGCTTCCTTGTTTTGATTTGAGAATAAAAGAAGTATGTCAAATGCAATTTTCTATTCTTGTATTGTTTTAAAAGGAAGGATGGTGGGTCTCCAGGGTGAAAGATAAAAATAGGCCAAAAATAAGGGTTGAGGTGGGGTAGATTTTTTGGTTGGGTGGGTTGGGTTTTTTTCAGGAGTCAAACTCCTTGCCTTGTTTCTCTACGAAAAGTGTGTAAAATGGCATGGTTTGGGGTATATAGAAAGTTCTGATAATTCAGAATTTCTTATAATTCTCTAGTGTTCATCCTGGGAAAGCTTGTGTAAAATGCTAGGGGGTATTTCTAGCAAACAGAATGCTCTGCTTTTTTCTGTAAAATACCTCCTTCCTCTTCTCTGTGTAGTTTTGTTCACAGCAAAATTCTCAGTAAATACACTGGGAGCAATATCAAGACCTTCAGTTTTTGTAACCTATATAGAAATACAGGTTTATATTCACATATGCGTGCATGCATGTACATCAAAAGTTAAAATACAAGTCACAGGTTTATGTCTAAACTAATAGGCTTATCTACAGTATGGCTTTGAAACAAAGGTTTTTCATATTAATTTGGTTGCTTTTTCTGTTTTGTATTATGGAACAGCATACACGTATTTCATACATGCACACAGGGTCAATCTGACCATGGCTTTAGTTCAAAATTCAAGGAAAGCACTATCATGTGGCTTCAATAATCAAGTGCAAAAATCTGCTTTAGGTTTTTGAAGTGTAGAACCAGAAGGTATATCTGAACTGATCCAGTAATCATTATTACATATCCATCAAACATAGCTGTAATAGCTGGTCTACCCAGCAAGCGTTTGATAACCCACCAAGTTTCTCATAACTGAAGATTTTACAGATAGAACTTGGATCAGTAAATAAATCTTCAGATTTATTAAAACATCAGAAAGATGGCCTGACAGCCTTTGTAAAAGTATTAGCAGTAATGCATCTCTGAATAAGATCAACTTATATATGTTTATTTTCTATTTAATTTTATATGTTGAAAGAAAAATATTTGCACCACTTCCCTGCAATTTTATATTCCTTTTTTATTAATAATTTAAACTGCTAAGATTTTATTCAAGTGTTATTTATTAAATTGTAAGAAGAAGGTGGGAGTAGAATTGCATATTTTCAATGAGCAATAACGTAATTTTCAAAATCTTTGTGTAAGACTCTACAAAGTATATACACAATGACCTGCAAAATAGGTACTTCACAGGTAAAATATAATGCATAAAATTTAATAGCGGTATAATAGCCTCATCTAGCGTATTTACTGTAAGTGTAATATAATATATAATTAAAACCTGAAGAGAAAGTTAGTAATTGGAATTTGTGGCTAAATATGAGTCAGCTCATTTCCCTTTAAAGATACAATTGACATGTTTTTGAAAGACAGATGCAAAATTATTACACCTTTATATCAAACTGTGTTCAGTTTTGATCTGTTAGTTTTGAGGATTGGGAGAATAATATCTAGACATTTAAGAATATTTTCTTAGAAGACGTCGTCTTGAGCTGCTACTCTCAAACAAAGGCAATGCATGAGAAAATTAAGAGCTCTACAGTTCCCTATGCAAAATGATCCAGCGATGCCGCATCTAATGTTTACAGAGTTGAATCTGGTTGCCTGGGAAAGAAAGCAGGCGGGGAGGAGAGCTTGGGAGCATGGCAGTGGTGCTACAAGGCCACATCCAGATTCAGGTGAGGCCAGTCCTCTCCCTCTTCAAGTGAAGGGCAGAGATGGGAAGGGTGAAGGGGTGGGAAGTGCAACAGCACCTTCAAAGGGGAATGGCATCTTTAAAGTCCCAAACACACAATGCTCCTGCAGGATATCATCTCTTCTGTGCTGTTCTTCTGGTGCAGCTGGCCATGGGACAGTGCTGAGGTTAAAGCCCTGTGGCAGTGCGCTGCACGTGGCAGAGCTGAAACTGGAGCTCTCACGTTTCTGTCTGCTGAGTGGGTCTCAGTAAAAAATTAGCCCTTGATAAAATTACTCAGTAGATCTCAATACATCTGAGGAGTGTTGGCATAGACAAAAGGATTTCTTAGTGAGAGAAACCTGAGAAGGGGCTGGGAAAATGCAGAGGAAGGCTGGAAACTTGGCACACCATCAGAACAGGAACATGTGTTATTGGAAACCCTGTTGTGCTCTATAGGTCTCACTGCAGGGAGATACAGCTATAGCACCCCGTTTTACATTTGCCCAGTTCCTCTCACTGTTGGAACATGCCAAACATGTCATATTAAACCCACGTATTTTCTTATTAAGAGTAACCTGCATAAGCGTTATTATCATGAGACAAGTACATTGTCACATGATGCTGGCAACACTCGGTATGTCAACAAGGCTTGAAAAGGCTGGTGGAACACTGAGGTGAAAGCCTGGTAATCCATCCCATGAGGGCTGTTCAGGCAGGCCAAAGGCGGCACACATAAATACATCAAATTGTCCCTCTAGCTCTGTGTGAACACAGAATTCCTTTTTTTGTCCTCCCTAATGTGATCACTGCTCCTACAGTCTTACAAAATTTTATGCTATTTTAGGGATGCTTATTCCTTTAAATGAGTGCAATGTAGCCCTTACTCAGAATAGCTGCCTTTACTTCTGATGCTTTTATTCACGGTACCCACTGTGTATGTTTTAAATTACACCATTTAATAGCTCTATACTATTAACACTTGTTCTGTAATTTTCTGCATACAAGAACAAACCCTTGTTTGTAAAGAGGACAATATTTTGATATCTTATAGAGAGATATCAAAGAGAGATACCAAAGAGAGATGAACCTAGCAGCACCTCCTCCATCATCAGACTGGAAGGAAAAATTAACTACAGGATTTACTACAGAGGAAGTAGAAAGTCTGGAGAAGCAAGAGAAAATATGAAAGATATGAAAGGCATGATATCATAGGCTGTAAAGTTAGGGTGTGGAGAGAATGACAGAGAAAAATGTGAATGTGTGAGGCCAAGAATTAAACCATCCCTTTGTGGCCCTTCAGGCCCTGATGAGGGGCCTGAATTACTGCCTCATATGGCACCCATTCAACAACAGTCAGATTCACAAATGTCTGCTACAGTTTTATTGTAATAAGGAAAATATTATGGACCTGATGAGAGGTTTGTGGTGGTTTTTTTTTTTTTTTGGTCCCTATAAATAGAATGTTATAATTTTCATCAAGATATACAGAAAAATTCAAGTCCCAAATCTACTGAAAACTGTTGCTCTCACATCTGCTTAGGCAGTGCAGTACATGACTCACTGTAAGGCTTGTAAGGCTTTTCAAAGAAGAAAAATTCTTAAAATGGATTACTAATTAAAAAAAAATAATTTTAATATGTTAAATAGGTAGATACAATGTAAAAAAGTGGACCAGAGTGTTTTTAAGTAAGGAACTTATTAGTTCCTCTAGTTAGTTAGTTGTTCCTTCTTATTAGCAAGGAATCCTTGTTGTATACTGCTCCTGTAGTTTTGTCCATCTTGTAAAAGGCTTAATGGTTTGCTGTTATTAGGCTAGAGCTGAAAAAACAATGCTGAGTGCTTCGGGTAACTTAACTGTAGACATAAAGAGATGTTTTGGTCATGTCCTTCATTAAATCCTAAGAAACATCTTGGCTCAACAACTGTTGAGGAAAACAGTTTTTTATAATATTACTTTTTGCCAGTAAAGGCTTATAAAATATCTATATAAAATTATTAAAATGTATTTTGCAGAGTTTTAAGACAACAGGTATGAAATAAAACTTGGTAGACATGAGGCTAAATAGACTACAGAAAACTACATTTCATCAGAATGGGCATTGCTCAGTCAGTAAATCAAGGAAATGTCAATGTAGAAGATTTTATTGCATAGCCAATTTCTACTAATGATAAATAGAAATTACTTGTACAAATAAATGCAATAATCTAAAAGCAACATTCATGCCAGTTTAACTTCCACTTGTGGTAATGGAAAATACTGCCTGCATTTATATGGTAGTGTTAAATATGGTGGTGGTGGGGTGTTGAATTTTTTTTCTTGTTTTTGTTTGTTTGTTTGTTTGCTTTGTGGTTTTTGTTTGTTTTTTTAAATGTCACAGTAATATATGTATGGCAACAATAATAACACCTTTATTAATTTATCCATCTATCCAGATTATGGACTGATTTCTAGGGATGCAGGGCATAAATCTGTAGTTAGGATTCTTATAAACTCTGTCTTTCTTCATTTACTTTACCCTTGAAAAGCACATTTTCTGTATTCTCTTTGTTAAGAAGCTGTTAGCTACCATCACTATGAGCAGCTGAGAGACAATGTAATGATATCCAGTAAATAAAATCAAAGATTTTGTTATGAAATCCATTTTGTTTATCCTGCACCTAGAGCATTTTGAAAGGGCTTTGAGTTTGGTTCATAACAGAATAGGAAAATAATTCATTTTTTATACAGGTGGTAGTTTTCCCAGTACGCAAACATGCAGAATAAATGCAATCACAAACTTCCGTAAGTACCCAAATAAGATTATAACAAGTGTTACCATGAGCAGGAGAGTTCTGACTCAACTCTCCCAGTAGGTTAGACTCCCAACATGAACTACATGCACACTGGAGTTTTCCTCCCACTGAAAATCCTGCTCTGCATTGCCATCTGTTTTCATGTAATTTGAAGTAATGTAATAACCTGTAACCTCCTGTTAAACTTGGTTGAAATTGGTCACAAGTTCTAAAAGTACTTGGAGAAATTATGCCTGGGAGACAGAAAGACACATGTTCAGGTGGCATAGTTACACAGGCTTTCTCTTCTCAGGAAAAAGGCTAAAAAGTACATGTGACGAGACAGGTTTTATTTGGGTTTTTAAATTGACTCTTCAGAATTTGGTCACAAATTGGTAATGTGCTTCTTTTAGATTTTTTCCTTCTGTATCAGTTCTAGGCTGATAAATATTTCTGTGTTTTATGTACTGCATTTTCCACATTCTAATGTTTTACTTACAGACTTGAACAAAAACATTGCTCCACATCAGTATGTAAGCATATCTTTTAAAGCCCGTTCTTTCCAAGCTAGCAATCAAGCCTTATTCATTTGATGACTTCCAGACTATCAGCTCCCAGGACCACCATTTTGTTCTGAATCCTTTTCTCTCTGTACTTAATATTATTCTCTCCTGTTGATAAAAATTAATAGCATTTTATGGATTATTAATAAATTAAAGGTGGGAAACAAGGATTAAGAAACAGTTTTATAGTTTTCTAAAAGAAGAAGCCACCAACGGGATCCTTTGGAATCTGACAGTTCAACATCTACAAAATGGCTGCAAACAGTAGTGAACATAAAGTTGTAAAAGTCTGCAGATGGTGCAAAAGTATTCAGGCTAATCAGCTGGAAAGCTGAGTGAGAAACATTGCTGAAGTATTTCAGAAATAAAGAATGATCAAATAGACCAGTTAGGCAAGTGCGAACTGGTGTGTATAGGGAAGCTAATCCTGACATCTATACACAATAGTTACTTATTATCTTTTGCCACTCAGGAATAGGCTCTTAGGAGACACTGTAGCTCAGGAGAAGCCAAAAGCCAAACAGAATGATCAGAAGGTAGGTATTGGGAAAGGAGCAGAAAGCGAACCAGCCATTGTAATTCCATATAATCCCTAAACCCATGGTACACATATATCTTAATCACTACATGAAATTCTGGTCATGCAGTAGTATTAGTGTAGGAGTTAGAAAAACAAAAGAAATTCAACAAGGAGAACATTATGGATTAGCATTAATACATAAAGAAAAAAGGCAGACTTTCCAGCCCAGACAGGAGAATACTGAAGTGAAATATTTTCACAGTGTATAAAATTTTGCAAAGAAAGTGAGTATGGACGCTTATTTTCCCTCACAATGCAACAATCAGGCACTGGGCTTGAGAGAAAAAGGAAATACTGTTTCAGACAATGCATAATTAATTTTCCTTTCTGCCCAAGAAGGCGGAAAGGTAACAGCATAAAAAATTATTTTTCCAGTTCCTTTATGGAGGGTAGGCTCATGAATACTATTAAACATGATGGGCAACTCCCTGGTCAGGAGCTCACAAAGGACTAAGTGCAGGAAGTTGTTTGTTCCCTAAGCCCTTGCTGCTGGCGTTGAGGCAGGCTGCCTGGCTAGATGAGCCTTCAAACATTCAGTGGATACTAACCGAAAGGATGCATGGCTTCTTACAACATTCTCCTTTATACAACTGAACGTTCCAGTCCCAAGGAGACTTGTTGCTCCTGTGTTCCCGAGAACACAGGGTGGTAAAGGAAAGGCTAGCTCTAGAAACCCCATCCCCTCCTATTCCCCCCGCAGTTCCCTTCTCTAGTCCCCTTAGTGACGGCAGCGGAAGGCGCAGGATACGCAAATTCCATGAAAAAAACAACCCCAACACTAAACCTTATTTCCCTCACCAACCACCGGGAGCCGCAGCCATTTTAAGAGGTCGGTAGGGCGAACTACACCTCCCAGAGTGCCCGGCGCCGCGGCGCCATCTTGCCCCGCCGGCCCGCGGGTCAGTTCGGGCAGACAGTACTGACAGTAAGCTGAGACATGGCATTGTTCCCGGCTTTTGCTTGTGCCGCCGAACCCGGGGAGCCCTCAACCAGCAGCGGCGAGGGCTCCAGGAAAGGTAAAGTCCTAGGAGAATCCTCTTTCCCCCAACAGCCCTTCGCGGCCCGGTCTTCGGGAAGCTCATCCGCTTCCCTTCGCCTTTACACGGAGTAGTATGCACCGTGCCGGCCCTTCTGCATTCCCCGCCGGGCCTGCTCCGGCCGCGGGAACCCGCCTTGCAGGCCGTGCCGCTCCGCCCACCGGCCCGGCTTGTGGCATGGGCGGTGCTACCGCTAGGGCCCGAGCCCCCTATAGGGGTGGGCCGTACCCAGCGCTTCTGGAGGCTCGTGGGCGCGGCGCGGGGTTTGTTTGCCCGGCCGGACCCCGCTTCGCCAGTGCCGTGTGCCCCTCAGCCAAGTTCCGCTCACATGTGCGGTGTGCCCTGCGCAAGGCGTGTCGCTCTCGCGCTGAATAAAGTTACATTCCGTGAGATAACTTTGGGGAGAGCCTGAAATAGGGTATTTTTTTAATGAAAACTGTGTTGTTTGGTCATTGGCGGGTTCTCAAGGGTGTTCAGATTTCCTTCCAGCTGTCGGTTGGTGGGTGTTGGAGGCATGGTTGTTGAGATACCTTTGGAAAAATCAATGTATGTTAACTTCATGTGTGGTGGAGCAGACTTGCTTTATGCAGAAAATTAGGTGATTTTGGTTTTATTTTTAACCACTAGCCTTGGGTAACTTGAAAAGTGTCTTTTCATTTCCGTGTTTATTAAGCCAAATTTTAATGTTTGGTGTTTTTTTTTTTTTTTTTTTTTGTGGAAGGTCATGAGATCATGATTCAGTTTATCACTTTGGCTGGCATGGTTGCTGTCTAGCAAGTTGAGGTTTTATTAAGTGAGTAAAGAACCCTATGTGGTCTATTGACAAACTGCAGTATACACATTCCCTAATTCTACTGGGTGAGGTTTTGAGCTAGGCTTTCTGCTCACCAGCTTCGAGTCTGCCCATCCTCTAGGCACTACAGCAAGGGGAAACACTAAGATAATTGTTTACCTAGGCTGAATTTATTATATATTTGGTTCAGTCAGTATGGTGACTTTTTGAAGCTTTTAGCAGTGCAGATAGGGGTTAGTTCTTGTTCACCTGTTGATGCTTAGTCTGCTAGTACAGAGATAAGGAGCCTTTCTGGTAATAACACTTGGTGCAGGGACTAGTGGACATAAGATCCCAAATTACAGCTTCTAGGAAGGGAGGAGCTGCTCTGCTAGGCAGGAGTACAGTAGCATTCTCTAGAAGTAAGACCTTGTTTATATTGTAAAACTCTGGGAATTTATCCTTTAGGACAGATGTATTAGGTTTAGTCTGTGTCACTGCAGACCACATGTCTGGAAGATGAGATTACACTGAAAAGATGTTAAAACTATTTTTTTGATCTATATTTCAGTTATTAGCACTGTTTGTGAGCTGTATTTTGATCTACTGGAAGTTTTTTGTATAAGAATTACTGAAAAAACTTTAAGGAACATTATTTATGGAGCATTTTTTAGTTAATATTGTACTCTGTTTTTAACAGCTGCCCTTCAGTACAAATTATAAAAATTAAGTATCAACTCAGAACCACATTTATGGTGGCATATATCAAATTTCACACTTTCAGCTTGTGAGAACTTGAGAACTTGATGAACAACTTTGGTATCTCTCTGATAGATGGCTCTCTTTCCTCGGAGCTGATAGGAAGCCAAAGTCTATCGTAATACAACAGTCAGAGTATGTTGTATTTATTCAACACTGAGGTATCTTTTGCAGTCATTTAGGACTGCTTCATAGTTTTATTGTAGAATTTGAGGTAATAGTGTAAATAATGCTGGCCATGTTTCATTCCTCTGTATCATACTCTTACAAACCTTCCTAAACCATTTGTAAGTGCTACCTGGAACAGAAGTGTTGCTGTACACTCTTCCAGCCCTGCTAGGTTGCAGCAGCAACCTCTAGAGCACAAAGTAATTTTGTATATGGTTTCTTACAATTATGTTGTCAAGCTTAATTAGCTTTAGGTAGAAGATAAATTGCAAGTTTATCAGTAGCCATGAACAAAGCGGGGGTAATAATTAACTCTACTGACAGTAGTAAGCATTCTGCACAGCATTATTTAGAATCTGAACTATTCTATGGGTAGGATGATGCAGTGATTTATTTTTTTTTTGCTGAAAACAGATTTTCAGGATTCTGAGAGGCAGCAAAAGGCTTTGCATAACTCTTTACAATTGCCTCTGTAGGCATGCACTGTACGCTTAATTTTCTTGGATTTTTTTTGCTTGGGAAGGTATAAAAAGAATGCGGTTGGATTTCTTCTACTGTTGTGCTCAGAAATGTGGGTGATAGAGTAGAACAATAACGGGTACAGGCATGTTATCACAAAAGAAGTTTATAATCCTTTTTATTCTTTTTGCTCACGTAAGTCTCATCTGTAAAAACGATAAACTTTTTAGACACCTGACAAGAAAAGATAACAGATTGAAAGGTAGACTTTTAAAGTTTGGAATGCATTTTGATTTTTCAAATGCTTGTATCCAGCTAACTGATTCACTGGAGATTATTTACAAGGAGGTCTGGACTTGCATGTTGTGTCATGGAAAAAATGGTTCAGCTCTTTCCAAAGTATTAGGTCAGTTTGATTAAATTGCTCAGAAAATACTGTAATTGGAGAATTCTGAACATTTCCCTGGTGTATCCACAGAGGCATACTGAGTATGCTACAGGGTTGGTTCTTGCAGCGTGATCCTTCAGTGTTTTAAAAATGCATTTTGGTCTCACCTGCTCAGGTAGAACCAAGTTACAGGCACAGTCAGGGGATTAATGTTTATGACTCAATTTCTCAAGGTGAGTTTTCCTTGGAGGCCCTAAAACAGTAATTTAAAATATTAAAAAAATCTTTATTCTCCTTGTGCTCTTTTGATTGTGTTGCACCAACTTAGTGAGTAACTTTAAGTCAAGATGACATCTTGGAAGTTTATTTCTAATAGTTAATGGTGATAATAGACATTATTTTACTATATTTAAGGCAAATATTCTGTAGAAATTGATCTTGTGCATGCTTGGTGTGCATCTGTCTGCTAGCTTACTTCCTCAATATCTCTCTCTTCCTGGTCACGTTTTAACTGTTTCAGTCATGTTTGTTGTAGTGAGAGAGAGACATTGCGAAAACAGAGGAGGTCTGTGAAAATCTACATTTGCTCAGGAAAGATAAGTCTAGATAAAGTGCCACTGCTCCAAGAGAGGCTATAATATGAATTGAACTGTTACCAGGATAGATGGGCTTGGCAATGAGCGTCTGTACATTAACCAACTAGGAAACATTTTTGAGATCACAATCTGACATGGCAGAGGCTCCCTCTTGCCCAGCTGATAATCAAGGGACCTGATAGAAGGGTCTAGAGAACCTAGATAAATTCCTGAAGCTGTGGTAGCAGTGGGGAGTGTAAAGGATGGGAGGGTACAGTTCAGAAAACCAGGCTTCATCCTTCTGTTTGAACACCTTAAAACCCTTAATTCTGAGTTAATTTGCAGAAGGGAAGAGGGGAATTAAAAACATTACCAATGCACTCTTTAAGAATGTGGTTTGGTCTTAGAACAGGCTTTTAAAAAGATAAATATAAGGATAACTGCTTTCCACTGTTCTGCCTGTTCAGGTCTAGCCTCTTTTGTTTAATTTGTGTTTTGTGCCTCAGGGAAATTTATATCATTGGTCAGCCCCATGTCTTACTGTGTCTTCTAAACAGCTGGACCTTTACTGCCTTTTTCTTTTTTTTTCCCTTCTCCATTTTGTCAGTATGACTGGTAATGTCATTTTAAAAATAAATCTGTTGCTTTATAGTTTTCAGTTTTTAAGACTGAAGCTCTTAGTGCTCCTTAGGATCTGAATCTCCATTTGGAGGTTATTTGGCACTGTAGTGCCATAAGGCTGAAGGTTATAACATTCAGCATACTTGATGTTGTTTGCAGACACCTTTTTCCTGGTTCAGGCTGGTCTGTATCTAAATATTATTTGTCACTGATGAATAATATTTAAGAATACATTATTTGCATCAATCTTTGGAGGACCTGACATTATTCTCTTGAAATTAACAAAAAGCCTGTTCTAATGTATACAGTGTTTTAAGAGATTTTGGTCATGATCTTAAATGTCAAACATATTGAGACTTTTTTCTTAGTGGTCTGAATATTGTTAAGTCTTGAATTTGGAACTCTGTATGTCTAAAGGCAAATTATTTAACTTCATTCTGCCTTCGAGCTTACTTTTAAAAAAACACATAACCCAATGTTTTGTTAAGCATCATGGGTGTCAGTATTACTATGTATCAGGTGATTTCTGAATCATAATTCTTCATTCAAATCACTGCAGAACTACTTTACAATAAATTTATTTCTATCAAAAAATAGAAAGCAGGTATAATAAGGAGATCTGTCTGGCTAATAAGTTAGTTTTGTGCTGTTAAGTGATACACATTTAGACCAGAGACTGCCAACCAGTAATGTTTTGCGTTTTGTTAGGTAGATGTGGGTAATACAACACAAAACAAAACAAAGATGGATTTTTGTTTTAAGGAACTGTCTCCTTTATTTCTTAAATAAATAAAAGGCTTTATTCACAGATTAGTTGCATTTACTGAAATCTGGAGTGCTCTGGACCATTGTAGTTTCTCTGAATTTGTCTGTGTTTAATGAAAACCAGTGTGAATAGTGGAAAAACATTGTAGGGTTGCAGTTTGTTCCTGCATTCCTTTACACCTGATCCTCATTACCAAATGAGCAGAAATAATTGAATATAAGGAAGATAATAATTTTTAAAATCAGTATCACATTTAATAAATGTACCTCAAAAAATTCGGGTATAAAATGGCACTTAGTATACTGTGTGACATATATTGAATAATTAAATTTGAGTTAATAATGTAGTTACCAGGTACATGAATTTGACTCCTTGTGTTTTAAATATGTAGTAGGTACAGAATTATCCATGAGAAACATTTTAGTATTTCATGGAGAAAATACTAAATGCAAGTTTTCTAAGAAGTAATTCTGATTTTAGGTTGGTTCTTAATACATCTCTTACAAGATCGAAATAAGAAAGTAACATTGTTGCATAACACTTTATCCCCCAACAGGGGGGAATAATTAGACAGGCTAGTGAAGTGTTGCTTGGATTTTATCCTGCATAAATCTTTCTCCTCTAAGCTCACCAAAGGTTATGGAAGATTGTAAATCTGCTATTTACTGTTGTAAGTGATAGATTTACAGTTTTGAAGTCACAGACATATGCTTAAAAGGGAAGGCATTTGTGCCTGGGTGGGTTAATTTAAATGGTAGATTTTGATGATATTTTGGATAGGCAAGTGAGGATCATGGTTTTAAGGCTTCAAATTTTATTCTAATTTTGCACTGATGTATCTTAACTATTTTCCTGGAAGGGAAAATAAAAAATCTCCTGTTGATTTGCAGGTTTTGAGATTCTGCTTTCCAGGCAGAAGGTTACAATAATATATGTGTATATTACACAGCTGAATTTTTATTTTTCAGTCTTTATGTTGTGTTTTGGTGAACTGGTGCATAGTGTGGGAGTGTTCTGCAGCCTGTTATTGGGGTGCTCGTCGGTTTGTGTTCTGACAGTGCCATGAATGGTGGGTTCTCTTCTGTCCAGAGGTGGAGGTTCAAGATGAACCATGGAAGGTGGCCCTCCCTGCAGGCCTTTGGTAGCAGGGACAGTCTCTTGGGAAATGTGAACTGGAGCTTTGCTTGGTTGTGCATACCACTTGAGTTTAATTTAGGCTAACAGACTGTTCTCTAGCCTGCTTCAGTTTAAATCCTTTTGTGGACAGCAATTCAGGGACTTGAGACAGAAGAAAGAATTTGGTATGAAGAGCTATTTCTGAAAGAAATACTTTAGAAGGAGGAGAGATGTATGGCTTGGCAGACAATGAGTTTGTGCTGTTTAAGGATTACAGGTCAGTGTAGTCAAAAGCACAAAGACAGAAGTGTGACAGGAAGAACACCAAGGCAAAAATGGTTGTAAAGAGTGTGCAGAACAGGCGGAGACCAGATTCTTTTAGTTGTTACCTTCTGTGGTCTGGCGCCAGAGAGGCTGCTGTTAAATTTTGTGCTTGTGAGAAATAATGTTGTTAATATGTTAGAAAATTTCATATACTTAAAAGAATTCTAGAAATGAAATTGCTATGAAATTTGTTATGAAAGTTTCAATATAAGTAAAATTCTAGCAAAAAATTCCCCCTCCACATCCTGCTAGTATCTGATCTGATGACTGAAATGGCTGAGGTCTAGATGCAGAATGCTTAATGCTAATATATCAAAATTAGCATCAAATAACCTTTTCTCACACTATTTAAAAGTCTAATACATTCTGTAGTTAGAGAACTGAGAATCCGGTAACTTACTTTGACCTTGTATAAAACATTTGAGTAGTATTATTAGTACTGGGTGTCCCTATCAATAACATTGTGTCCATGCTGTGAGTGAAGTACATTTTGTAAAAATTAATATTGGACAGGTTGGGTTTTTTTTAAAGTATATAGCAGTGTATGAAACATATTATCTGCTTTTGGTATGAACTTTCAAGTACTCTTGTATAGTGGGTTTTTGAAAGCTTATATTGATGTCAAGGGAAGATTCCAGCTCCTTCAGTATTTTACCTCATTACAACCTCGTGTTCTGCTAAATGGGAATTTCATGGACTGTTTTCCAATATGCTCCATTTTTACGCATGACTCAGTGACATTTGCTGTGAATTTAGCTGTCTGTCAACTAGATTAACCCTGAACTTCAGAAAGCACAGCATGCTAACTTATATAGATCTCACACTTCTCTTTACCTGCAGAATTGGACTGGCTTAGTAACCGAAGCTTTTTCTCAGAAGATGCGCTGTTATTGCATCAGCGTGCTACAGAAGGTGGGAATCTTACCCGTGAAAAATCACCACTACTGACAAGGTAGAATATACTTCTGTATCCTTTAAAACAGGCTCTTTCTTTTGTCCTGCTTATCTTTTGTTATGTGAGACCAAAATCAGGAGATTTTAGGGCTGCTTTTCATTCCACTGTTCTCTATTTTAAAAGTCCTGAACTGAGTCATGTATAAAAGTATGAATAATGTTTCCATGTCCTTCGACTTAAAATAATGAGAAGTTATACTTATGCAATTACATTCCCATGTTCTTTTTCTCACAGCTGCATTTGCATCATTGTTATCTTGGAATGGAAGGGGAACTGAGTGATCATAATTCTTCATTAGCTTTTGAATGTCCTAAGTGACCCTTGAAATAATGTAAAGATTAAGCATGATCTTTGTGATTTCTTTGTGAAAATCAGTTCAGTCAGCCATTTCATAGTAGAGTTTTTTTACTTTTTAAAAATCAGTTGAAGATGTGAATTAATGAAATAGCTCATGTATCAGGTTGTGCTGTTAAAACATGCTGATCACTCAAATGGGTGATTGCATTTTTTTACAAAAATTAGCTTTAAGCAGCCATGTTTGCTGAACAACTGATTTTAATACCTTCACTAGAATAGTTGCTATACTTGACATATCTACACTGTAACTAGTACTTAATAATTAATGGAATCAAGTTGCAGTTGCTGAGTTCAAAATCTGAGTAATTTTTAATTTGATACAAGCTGCTATGTTTACAGTATGTGTTGGTGGTCATGATAGAATTATACCTTTATACTAATAAGCACTGCTGAATGCATTTTTTTTGTATACTTATTCTTACATTTATATGCATTGTGTGATTGAAGTGCAGCATTGCTCTGTTCATCAGTCAATATATTCTGCTTGCATTTCTTCAAACCTTTTCTGGACTTTCATGTCATAAACCTAAGGATTGATAATTTGCAAATTATCATTCAGATAGGATAACATAGTAAACCCACCATATTTAATTAATCTTTGAAAAATAATTTGTCAAAAACTAGTGTGCAGGTAAATGTCTTTTTGCCAATTACTAGGGTGCATTCTTGGTTTAATATAAACCAATTACTCCACATGATTGGTATTTTTGTGGAGAGGTTGTTCTAGTTTTTTGGTTTGGTGGGTGTGTTTATTTTAAAGGTCTGCTAACGGTTCTCTCATGGCTTTTTTTTATCATGGTGCCCTTAGACTGTGTAAGTTGGTTGGTGTTTTTTGAGATGCCTTGCTATTGAAATGCTGAATTTCTTTTATTGACATATTAGGGATATTGAGACTTGTCACTCCTTTATTGAAAGACTCCAGAAAAACTGCTTAAAAAGAGCTTGTGCTTGTAGGGGTTAGAGAAGACCTCCATTATTTCAGTTGATTATTAAATACAGGAGTGTTAATAGTACGAGCAATGCTATACATGTGTTTTGCCAAAACTATCTGTACTTTGAGTGATCTCGTCAGTTGTCTGTTGCATGTAGTGCTTGTTGCTACATTATATTATGTAATAACATTAATTCAGTAGTTATCAAAAATGGCTCCTTAATTGGTGAGATTTGTGTTTGTAATCTGAAAGTGATTTTAAAAGTATGTTTTTGATATGTCTTATGTAAATCATAAAGAAACAAGGAAAAAAAGAAGATTTTTTCACTTTTGCGGATCATCCTGAAAGATTTCTTATCCTTTTTAGCTTGACCTAGGTTGTCCTGGCAAAATCAGGAAATTATATCAGCTCAGTCATATTCTTTAATTTGGCAGTGATAACAGATGGATATTTATACAGATCACACATCAAAATGCTTTTGACAATTAAAACTTAAATTGGTTGTCAGTAATTCCAGCAGCTGAAAAAACAAAGTTGTTATTTAATACAGATTTATATTCTTTGTATTTTATGTGTTGCTGCTAATTCTTTTCTCAAAAAATACAGAGAGAATAAAGGGTAAAATGATTCTGAACTTCCTTATGGTGGTATTTCTTTACAGTTCTACTGTTCAGGTATGTATAGCTATATATGTACTTGTTTCCAAGCAGGAGTACATCAAGATCAGAGTTGTCAGGGGAAAGCGATACAGATGAGAGTCTGAAACAGTCAAGTAAGAAAAGAAAAAAAAAAAAGAAGAAAAAGCATCACCACTATAAGAAGGCAAAAAAGAAAACCAGAGGGGACTCCAGTAACAGTGAATCGGATGTGGACATTAAGGACATCAAGGACAAAGGTGCAGGAGGTGGCAGAAATCAAAAAAAGGGAGCAGCAGCAAAGTATGTATTTATTACTAATATGAAAGATGTAAATTCATTGTATTATTGTACTTTGTACTCATCTCTTCAACTTTATGGATGAAATTCTTACCACTGGGAGGATTTGATTTTTTTTTTTTTTTCTTTGCTAAGCTTTATATGCTTAAACCTGCATTCAGAGCAATGAAAATAGAATTAAAACCACTTGTTTAATATGCCCAGATGAAAGAGTTGAAATTGTTTCAGGGTGCTTATTTTTACTTTTTTCCAAAAATTGTTGTTGCCGAGAGAATACAGAGTTTTCAGGAGACTGTTATTGAAACCTGAACCACAAAATTGCTCTAAATGCAGTAGGTCTATTGAAGTTTTGGAAAGCTTCCCAGGACAGTAAAACTCATTTACTTAGTTACATATTTGTAGCATGAATTCAGATTGGAAGTTCATAGTTGTCTACAGTTTGGAGGCAGGTGGCAATTTCCACTTACATTCTTCTGCATAACTGTAATCCATAAACCACTTTGATGTGCACTGTTTTGTCAAATGCATAGGTATAATTACAGCTAATCAGTAAAGTTTTCATACAGATGATCCTCTTTTTTCTGAATTGTAGCATCTTACTAAGAAAAGTAATATATGGCTTTTAGATGATAGTTTGCCAAGTGATTGATTTAATCTGACTATTGCTTTTCATAATCATAAATCTAATTTTTGGAAGTGCAAGCAGTGTTTGTGTTCTGTTTTGATGGTCCTGTTAATGTATTTCTAGTTGTTGCTTATCCGAGCATGTGACTGATTTTGCAAGAATGGTCATATACCATAACTTTGAGAAAATTAAATAACTGGCAAAATGTAATGTTTCCTGGGTTTGGGGAATGCTCTAGAATATACTTCTCCTTCTCTGCAGTTTAGATAAGAAAACATCAAATCCTACCAGCAGTCGCATTGTTTGGCTTGATGATATCCAGGCTTCTACCACCGAAACCTTCATAATAGACAAGAAGCCAGACCCTTCAAACTGGGCCTACAAATCCCTGCATCAAAGGGACATACCAAGGTACAGTATGTTGGTTTCTATTGGTATTCAAGCTATCATAAAGTCAGTATCTCAAGATTCATTAACTTAAGTCTGGCTGTGACATTTTGGTGTTGGAGACGAGAAGTTAGGATGCCTGAATAGTTTGGTTGGTTTTTGTTTTTTTCAAAATTTTGCTTTACACTGGGCATAGATATTTTCAAAGGGAAAAGATGGCATGAAGTAATGGAATAAAGTGCATGATTTTAATTTTTTTCTAAAAATATTCCCTGTATCCTTGCAGACTACAGGCATGTGACCTTATAGAACTTCCAGCTGGAGGTGCCCGCATGGGGCAGATTGAAAAGCATGATTTTGCTGTCAGAAATCCCCGGTTCTGTTATAAATCAAGTGCCCTATAGGGGCAAGTGCCCCTTTTGATCTCTATTGTTCTGTTTCTGTCAGAAAGAGAAAAGAAGGTACTGATTATTTCATGTTGATTTTTCAGGTTTCTTTAGTAGCTTGATATCCTTGCACAGAGTACAAGTACTTTGTTAGCAAACAGATTCTGTGTTAGATCACCCAGACATTATACCAAAGGGTATCTTATGCATTGCTGCATTTCAAATGAGTGTAGATGAAATTGCATATTCAACATCCTTGGTGGGTTACTGGTACTATGATGACCCTTCAGAACATTTCGCCCCGTTAACAAGCCCATCCAAGGGAACCTATGCTGGGCTCATGCATTATGTATGTGCACCCAGTTCTTGATGTTCTGTAAGAAAATTGTATATATAAAAAGTAATCATCTGTAGAGGAGGGAGGATTTATGGATTTTATTTTTTTAGTGTATATACCTTTGCAGTAAAATTGCCTGGTTACAATCCATTCCAATTTTCTGCTACCTTCAGATTGTCTGCTGTTGTTTGAGATGAAAACTTATTTTAGCATTGCACATCACTATGTCTGACACTTCACTGAAATGGCATTCTTGCTGATGGTTTAAGATGTTGTTTTCCTTTCTTAATCCATAATTATTGCGGCCTTTATGAACCTGGTCTCTCTTTCTTCTCCAGCCCACTGCTTACATGGCATATAATATGGATAGAGGCTTAGGGATACAGAAAGATATTACCAGACTGAACTACTGTTAATTTCTTAATTAATTACTGAATTTCAGTTTAAAATAATCTAATTTAAATAGCCTCAAATAATGTTCTCTGATGTTCTTTGTCCAGGTTTGTCTATATGGCTTAAAATGATAGGAGAAAAAAAATCTGAGTATGGCAGATACTGTTGAATTCTGAGGAAGCTTAGTATGACAAAAATAAAAGTTACGATGGCACTGAAAAAATATGTAATTTGAAATCTTAAATAAAGAGAAAGTTACCGAATTCCTACACTTTTAAAGGTGTATGCATACATTATTTGGGTTAATTTGTATTACTTATTCCATTTTCTCATGTGTATTTTAGAAGATGTTTAATTGTATTTTTGCTTGTAAGATATAAAAGGAAAGGAGAGTCCTGTCGCGGCATAGATGCCAAGAAGCAGTCTGTAACTTTGGACAGTTCTGCATCAAAAAAGAAGCAATCACAGAGGCAACCTGAGCGTTACTTCACAAAGGACAATGTGAAGATGCTGAACACTGATGGTGTGCCTGTTTGCAGCAAAATTTCTCCATCTGGCCCAACTACTTTTATACCAATTTTCCAAGTGGAAACTGATGATCCTTCAGACACAACGGAGTTAAATCCTCTGGGGATTTATGATTCATCAACTTTACAGTGGCTACAAGGAAAAGGGTGCAAGAGTGCAGACTGTGAGCCTGAAACTACACAGCAGACAATTCAAGAGCCTGGGATAAACATTAAGTCTGAACTAATGACAAAAGTGGAAGAACATAACAAGAAAGTCAGAGAAAACCCAGGAGATATTAATGCTTGGATGGAATTTGTTTCTTTTCAGGTATGTGTTCTGACAGACCTGCTTGCTTATTGTAAATAATAAATACATGAACATTTTAATTGTATTTTCATTTGTTAGGACTGTGTATCTTCCATTGGTGAAGTAAGAGCTGTTAATTCATCTTCACAATTGTCAGCATTCTGCTTGTGATTCTAGTGATGATTCTTTCTAATGTAAAAACATTGATTTTCCTTTTTGTTTTAAGGATGAATTGATGGGAGGACCTGGCCCTTATGCCAGTAAGGGAGAGCAGGAAGTAAGACGAAAATCACTGAAGTTTATCTTAGAAAAGAAACTAGCAATTTTGGAGAGGGCAATTGAAAGCAATCCAAGTAATGTTGATCTGAAACTTGCCAGGCTGAAGATTTGTGCAGAATTCTGGGAGCCACCAGCTTTGATCAAGGAATGGCAGAAGCTAATTTTCTTACATCCCAATAGTCCAGAGCTGTGGAAGAAATATCTCCTGTTCTGTCAAAGTCAGTTTACTACCTTTTCCGTTTCAAAAATCAATAGCCTCTACGGAAAATGTTTGACTACATTGGCAGCTGTGCAGGATGGCAGCATGGTATCACATCCTCTTCTGCCTGGTACGGAAGAAGCTATGCTAGGTAAGTCTCCTTCTTTTTCACGTTATGGTCAGAACTTCATAGGAGTTAACTAGATTTTCTAGAAGAATAGACTTTCCTATGTGTTACAGGAAGTGTTTATTCTCTTCAAAATGCCTGTCATCCTGACTCCTTAGCTGAGAATTAAAGCAGATATTCCAGCCAAATATGGATATAACAGATGCTTTTTTTCCCAAAGGGAATTTGCGATATAACATCCAGTGAAGTCTAACGTGCTGAGTGGTTTACAGTACGAATGTCAAGGCTGGAGAATTGCAGCCCACAGCCAAGAGATATGCTTTTATCTTTGAGAAATATTTATTAAGAAAAATAAGAAGTTGGCTTGTGAAAGAGTCAGTTCTCTCTTGTTCAGAGGTTTTATAGGTAATTACTTTAATCCAGAAAAGAGAAGGGACATGAGAAGTCTCTTGTGAAATTTTCTTCAGCATCCCAGTAGATGAAGAATTCTAAACTTTGTGATCATGTCTTTTTATTTACTGTATGCATGTATCTACTACTTATAATTTATGATGTAATTATCCCTGGAAAGAAAATTAGTCGGTTGGGATGCTGGACTGGATTCAGGGAAGAAATGAGTTCATGCTCAGTTCTGGCATGGCCTTTAAATTTATTTGAAGCTAAATGACTTAACCTATCCCTTTTCAATTTTGCTTCTCTGCCTCAGGGGTCATTGTGATTATTAATCTATGAATACACTGCGGGTGGGAAAATATTAGTGTTACTATGAATATGGTAGGTTTCTTTCCTTTTAGAATTTATCTTAAATATAGAGGAGACTATTATGAAGCAGTCCACGTTTCTTCAAGTCCTGTAATTGCTGTTTGAGCAGTGATGCTATGTTATGCAATATCTAGTCTGGACTTACAGATCGAGATGCTGGGTTACAGATTGTTAGATCGAGATGCTGGGTTACAGGTGTTCAGATCTTTTGTGGTCTTTGGCTGATTCCTCTTGGATCAAGCACTGGAAAAACTGCTGGAAAGGAAAAATCCTGTGCTGACAGGTGGATATTATATTGCCTGATAGCTTCTGATTTCCAAAGCTTCAGTCCTTTGGGCATGTGGGTGCAATCACAATGAACGATTCTCAGGACAGATTTTTATTCAGCATTCCCTCCCCCCCTCCCCCGCCAGTCAGGAAGGTTTTCCTTTCATTTGGTTTGCCTGCACAGAACATACTTGACATGTTAAATACTATTTATCCATTGGTATAAGGTTACTGTTTTTTTAAATTGAGTTCCTTCAAACTGATTTACGTTTTTTTAAATACTTGTTTGCTGGCAATGCCTATAGATAGGTTAAAATGAAAATGAGCTGAACTTTGTGTTTCTGTTCCACTCTTAATGTCTTGTTCTGTATTCATACGGTAGCAATTTGTTTCTGAACACTGAGGTTTGTTTTTTTTTTTGTTGTTGTGTTTTTTTTGTTGTTATTTTTTTTTTTTTTGTTCATGGTTTGTTTTGGTTCCCCCCCCCCCCCTCGCTTTTCAAATGATAGGAGTGGAGAAATTTCCAGTGGGGAGACTTACTGATCTGAGATTTTTTTTTTTCTAGTGACTCAGCTATCTAATTCTTGGGCTGAATTTGCATTATCAATGTACTTATTAGGAAGATTACCAAAATTTTCATTAAGATAAACATACAAAGAATTTCACAGGTTAATTAGGATGTAAGTAGCAGTGTGGAAATCTGGTAGGCTTGTCTTCAACCTTTGACCTTTGGGATGACAAAGTGTAAGAGGCAATTTTAAATAGTGGTGGACCCTGCCATCTAGTGTTCAAGTCAGTACGCTGTACTACCTGCTTGAATAGATGTTTTTTTTTTTTTACAACATGAAATTTAAGAAAGCAGGTCAAAATTAAGTTTAGATCAGTTTTACTTAAATTTTGAGATAAGTTGTAATGTTTTACATTTACTAAGACCAGATGAAGGTAAGCATTCTCAAATTTTGCTGTGAGAAAGGAGTCTTGGTTTTCATATTATACCTACTGACTGGGGAGAAACAACCTTGTATTTCAGGTCAGTTCAGCTGCAGAACTGTCATAGCATCATGACCTGAATTAAGTGTGTATTCAGGATTTTTTCAGCTTTCACCACAAAAACAAAAAAAAAAACCCGAAAAAACCCCAACCAGACAAAAAGCTGATCTTTGCATTTCTTCAAATATCTTTCTTTTTATCCTGCAGAAAATCTTATGCTAGAATTTATTTTTGGCTTCAGTTTGGCAGCAAGTCCTGATGAGAGATTCTCTATATTCAGATTATTTTAATCAAAGCTGTTTGAAGCTGAGAGGCGAGGAAAGGACAACTCCGTGTCAGTTGGATACACTGCCTAAATGGGTTAAAATACTTTGGAAGGTTCTGTTATGTACTTAAGCATACTTTCTGTTGCTTAAATACCTTCAGAAGTTGCAGGGTTTTCGTTATCAGAAACAATCACTGACTCTGAGGGAAAGTCAGATGAAATGCCTAGTTTGTGTATTCTGTCTGAATTCAGATTTTTATGTGTACGCATCTGATGCAAATCTGAATAGCGGTAAAAGGAGGAAATTATTTACCACTTTGTATTAAAAAAATAAGATGTTCATTAAGAAGCAATTGATGTGTCTATGTAGCCACTTAAATATTTTGATTGTTTAAAATCCTCCAAAGCAAATGAATTTAATGAAGAAACAGTAGTTTTTGAAGAACTGTTTTCAAAACTATAATTATTTAAGACTTGATTTATGGGGTTTGAGTTATTTTTTTTCTTAAGCCCATTAATATAATAATTTAAAGCAATTTGGTTTTTGAACAGCCACTGTTTTTTAAGACTTGAGTGTAATTTGGAGTGATGGAGTATCTTTGAAATGTCCTTGAACAACATAGAGGTTTTCATAATACTGTTATTTCTCCAGCTCTTTAGTTTAAGACTCTGGTTGCAGATATACGAATAGAGAAGCTGGGGCTTCACTTCCCTTTCTAAGCTGAGAATTGAGACTCACTGTGTGGTAGGGATATGACAGTGATTACAGAATAATTTATTGAAAAGCAAGGGTAGTTTTAAGCAGTTTTAAGCTAGTTTTAAGCAGTAATACTTCGACCAAAAGACCAGACTTCTCTTAACAGAGTTATTATGTAAAGGAATAGAAAACAGGAATGACAGTTGAAATGAAATGGAATGTTACTGACATACTACTGATGTAAATAGCTCATACAGCATAGAGGCACAAAGGGTTTTTGTTCTGATCACTTACTCTGTGAATTATAATAATGCCCAGCATCTTCAGAGGTGGCAGTGACCCGCTCTAACAGATGTTGGATAAACCAAAGTTAGGACCATTGAATATATACTTTTATTCATCAACAAGAACAGTGCTTGTTTGGCATGAATAAAAACTCATCTCTTGGTGCATTTGAAGTGGGAGGTCTTCAAGTTAATTAAACTATAACAGTTTTGACATGAATTTTTGACATGCAATTTCTTCTCCCTGTGTTTTGGATTTTGATACTGTTCAATAACATTTACACTCTACAGCACTTATGTCTTCTTTATTACAGCCCACAAATATACAATACTTGACAACAAGATTTATTTGAAATATTAAAATTTTATCTTTATTTTACAGCTATATTTGTTCAGCAGTGCCACTTTCTGAGACAGGCTGGTCATTCTGAGAAAGCAGTGTCTTTGTTTCAGGCTCTGATTGACTTCACCTTCTTTAAACCTGACAGTGTAAAAGATCTGCCAACAAGGGGACAGGTAACAATTTCTATTTAAATGGATGTTATGTCCTTCTGCATTACAGAGAATGTTGAGACAGATAAATGTTGATTAATTTTAAAGGGCATGGGGAAATATTTTGAATCACAAGTTACTTTGCGGTTCTTCAAGGTGATGCTTGCATTGGAAAAATGCTTCTGAGTCCTCTGGAACTACCTGCCAAATTGCTGCTTCTGCTGTATGTAGTGGAAGTGTGATAACCAGTCATTTCATGTCTTTTTTTTTTTTTTTTTTTATAATTACACATCAAAAAAAATGAGCTGGGTGACCAGTGTCTGTATCTAGTTAGCACTTCCCCTGCTTCTTTTCCCAAAAACTACTGCTGTGTTTTGTTACTGTTGATGGAGAAAGCTAATAGGACCTATAATCTCTGTTCCGCACAGTTCTTGCAAACTTTTCTTAGGTTCTCCATTATTTAATATTTTCAGTAATTCTTTGATGGCTACATTAGGAATACCTTTATTCTTTAAAATATCTTTTATTTGACGCATGAGAGTCTATTCAGTTTATTCTGTTAAAGTATTAAATCACGTTTTCTCTTCATTTGCTCAGGAGGATATTGGGTGTGAACCCCAGTAATAATCAGTAAATGAATATTAGAGGAGGCAGTTGCCAGTGTAGCAGTATCCCACTGAATTGCCAGGAGGTGCTTTCTTTTTAATGAGTGGTAGGGAGGGCCACCAGTTAGGCAGCTGGGCTACCACAGAGGACAGAAATGCAATTTCCTTCTGTTACCTCACTTCTTGCCCAGCAGCTACTAATGAGACTCCATTTTCGCTCTTTAGATTAATGCACCAATGGGCCAGTCTTGTAGTTCAAATAATAGCAGTGTTCTCTTAAAGAGCCAAAACTTTGAACGGAACAAGAAAATTGTAAACAAGAGTCCAATCATAATTGCCATGCAGGATAGGAGATTAGGTGTAGTTAAACAGATAAAGCTATAGTTATACTTCCAATAATTTGAAAAACTTCAGGATTATCTAATGTTTAAAAACTCTTAGGAAAGCAGGATGCAAAGGAATCTCAGTTTAAAAGGACAGTATTTAGGTTGGAAGGTGCAGTTTTTGAAAACGGAAAATGCCAGTTATACAGCTGATTGCACATTCTGCCCTGTTACAGAAGTGTTATGGCTCAGTCTTGAGTTACTTGTTTCTGTAATGTTTTCACATTTCACTTTCTCACTTGGAGCAAAGAATGAATCCATGAGGAACTGCTGTAAGCCCTGCATTTTCTGATATGTTGATAATTTTTCTTGGAGTAAAATCTATTGTTAATATTTGTATTAACAGTGACATATGTATGTCCAAGCCAAGGTTTGGTATACAGCAGAACATACAGTAGGAAGGTGACAATCATTAGAGCCAAGTATACACAAAGCAGGGGCAATTGATGATTGTGAAGGTGACAGATTGCATACTGGCATTGACAAAATCAGGACTAGAACTCTGGACCTCTGATTCACTGGAAAATGCCCTGAAGTTGTTGGCTATCCTGAAACCTGAGAGGTGAATGGCCTTACTGATCTTTTCCTCTTGTCCTCAGTCTGGTCATATTTATGTTCAACTTTAACATTTCAATTTGACCATAGGTGTATGGTTGTCCGAATTATGATTCCATTAGCCATATTCTTCATGGGCCCATGGAACATAGGGAGAAGGAGAGATTTGGTTTCTGAAAGCCACATCTTGGGGACTTTGGCACAGAAGTCTTTTGCTTTCTTTAAAGCCTAATACCTTTAAAAAATAATCTTGTTTCCGTGTTCATGTTTCATGTTCATGAAAAGAGCTGATGACAGTCCTGCTGTACCACAGGCATAATTGAAGTACTCAGTTGTTACTGCTGATTCTTTACCAGCATCTAACAAAGCCTTGAAATACAGAAGTTGCACCCAGATAAATGATTTTAGGGTCTGGAAAACTTAAGTTGACCCAGGTAGTGTCTGTACAACAGCAAAAATAATTTTCCTATGTTTGTTTTGGTTGCCCCTGCCCAAACCAGCAGGTGGAATTCTTTGAACCCTTTTGGGATAGTGGAGAACCACGAATTGGAGAAAAAGGAGCAAGAGGCTGGAAAGCATGGATGCACCAACAAGAAAAGGGTGGCTGGATTGCTCTCAAGGCTGGTATGCCCGTATCAATATGTGTAGTTGCAAATTCATGTGTTCTTCTGAACATTTTGATTAGAATGATACAAGCTGTTTCTTCTCATGCTTTTGCATTGAACTTTTAAAAAATATTTAGCAAGATGAAGACGTAGTATATCGTGCTTCACAGGGAAAAGCATGTAAGTGAAGTCTGGATTTGCATTTGGTGGATTAATTTTCTTCAGTAATTTTGTGTGCTTGTCCTGATTTGGCTTTAGATGATGATGATGATGATGAAGAGATAGATGAGGATCAAGAAATAAAGGATAAAACTCTTCCCAAGTGGCAAATTTGGTTGGATATTGAACATTCTCGTGAAGCCAGGCATTGGTTACCTTGGAGGCCAGACAAAAACAAAACAGAAGCTGAAGAAGATTGTGAAGATCCAGAAAGACAGGTCACTGTGATATAATAAAATAATAAGATACACTATCCTTTCATTTGAATTCACTGCCAGTGGGTATTTTAGTGGAGTAATCCTTCTCTTCATTTGGAAAAAAAATCTTGTCTTTGTTTGGAACTCAAAATATAGCTGAGGATTTGTGCTGAGACTTGTGAAATCCATGTGAAGCTCAGAGTAAATTTTGGAAAGGTTTGTAAGCAAATAGTCTTGTCTTTGCTCTTCTGTGATTTCTCTCATCTGTATGTAGAAATGTCACAGAAGTCTGTCTCTAAGATGCATGTGTTAAATCAGTAAAGATTTTGTTACCTTCAAGTCAGATAGTTGGATTTTTAATTTCTTTTTTTCCGTATTGGGAGAAAGGTCAAGTCAGGCATTGATTTTCAAATAAAAATGTGTTAAATGGCAAAAGCAGTAATATTTTCAGACCTTCATTTTGCAGGTTTTTTTATGGAGGTCTTTTGATACTCAAGGGCAAAGAAGTGTCTTGATAGCAAATTCACAGTCTGACTGGAAGAGCACATTGCTTAAGCTGTCTGTTTTGAATTTGAATGACATGCTGTTACCATTTCATACTAATTCTAAATCTTTATTGACTTGAAATGGTTATTTAATTACATAAATTACAAAATTTCTAACTCTATTTGATTGCATAAATTAATGGTTTGTTTCAATTTGGATTTTTTTAGGTCTTATTTGACGATCTTGGACCATCTTTAATCCAGATTTCTAATCCAGACCTTCAACGTCAAATACTGTACTCATTTTTGCAATTCCTGGGAGTTCCATGTACAAGGAAGCTCTTTCCTTCCAACCTCTATATTGCCATGGATGAAAATAACATCTTTGACAGTGTGCTTTCTGATGAAAAGCCACTCACTTCTGTTGATTTTCCACTTTCTGGATTCAGCAGTATTGGTCATATGAACACAATGCTACGAGGGAGACATCACATAGGCCACTACAAAGAAGGAGAGGAGTTCATACAGAATGTTTTTCATGTTCTGTTTCCGCTGTTTTCAGGAAAGGAAAAATGTGACCTGTCTATTTGTTGGCTTCAGTATGAAATATCTAAGGTAACGAGGAATCTGCATGTAATCACTTATGTGATGTATGGCTTTCTTGTATATTAACGGCTATATTGAATTAGAATAAATATTGCTGAAAATTAAGTCTTGTAGGACTAAGTATTCACATCAGGAAATGACGCTTAAGATTGCGGTGGGTGTAAAGAAAAAAAAAACAACCCAACCCTTCAGTATGTGTTACGCATGGCATAAAATTAACAAAATATTGTTTTGTAATTTTGGATAAAGGTTACTGTATGATGCATCCTATGCTAGCCAGGAATGGATGCAAGTGGTTTTTTTTCCCCACAAAGACAAAGTGAGTCAGCCAAGTACTCTTACCAAACTATACTACTAAGCACATAATCCCCAATACCATGTGAGAGCTTATCAAGTAACTTACTACTTCCTATACAAGTTAAATTTGTAATGTTATTGAAGGAAATAACACCTTATCACTTAAATATGGATTTATTTATGTAAAACTGCTTTAATAGATACCCACAGAAGGATGAGAGACCAGGCTGTCTTCCTAACACTTCAAAAGTCTAGTATTGTGTTTGCTTGTGGAGAAGTTCTCTGCCTCTTACCCAAACATTACCTGACCAGATCTCATGTAATTTTCCCATCCAGTCTCCACATTGGTCTGTTAGCACATTCCCCGGTGGGAAAAGTTACTTAGAGGTTTAATTGTGTTAGTCATAAGCTGCATCTGGCCAGACAGGATCATTTATTTCCCGTTTCTCAACCATTACAGGTTAGCAGCTCTTTATTTGAGCAGTTGGCCTTTTAGAAATGTGAGATTTGATATTACTTAATGGCAGTGGCAGGAGTAAGAATGATAAACCTGTGTAATTTGGCTGTGTTGGAGTGAACTGACAACAGGCAGTTGTGACAACTTGGAATCATAGAATAGTTAGGGTTGGAAAGGACCTTAAGATCATCTAGTTCCAACCCCCTGCTGTGGGCAGGGACACCTTACGCTAAATCATATCACCCAAGGCCTCGTCCAACCTGGCCTTGAACGCTGCCAGGGATGGAGCATTCACAACCTCCTGGGCAGCCTATTCCAGTGCCTCACCACCCTAACAGGAAAGAATTTCCTTCTTATATCCAATCTAAACTTCCTCTCTTTAAGTTTTAACCCATTACTCCTTGTCCTGTTACTACAGAGCCTAATGGAGAGTCCCTCTCCAGCATCCCTATAGGCCCCCTTCAGATACTGGAAGGCTGCTATGAAGTCTCCACACAGCCTTCTCTTCTCCAGGCTGAAACAGCTCCAACTTCCTCAGCCTGTCTTCATACGGGAGGTGCTCCAGTCCCCTGATCATCCTCGTGGCCCTTCTCTGGACTTGTTCCAACAGTTCCATGTCCTTTGTATGTTGAGAACACCAGAACTGCACACAATACTCCAAGTGAGGTCTCACGAGAGCAGAGTAGAGGGGCAGGATCACCTCCTTCGACCTGCTGGTCATGCTCCTTTTAATGCAGCCCAGGATACGGTTGGCTTTCTGGGCTGCAAGGGCACACTGCCGGCTCGTGTTCATTTTCTCATCGAGCAGTACATGCAGGTACTCAGGAGCAGCAGATCTGGCTGGTGGTGAAATATGGAACAATATGAGAACAAACATAGTAATGAAATCTAAAAAATGCTGTGAGGTTGTGTTTTGGGTTGGTTTTTGTTTTTCCTTTGTTCTCCACCCCTCTCAATTTGTTCTGTTTATTCTCGCCTGCAGGTAGTTCAGTGTCTCCAAGGAAAAAACAAAAAGAAGCTGAAAGCGCAAGGGAGAAAGAGTAAAAAGTTGGCCAAGAGTCTCCTTAAAGCACCTGACAACCGAAACCACCTTTCGCTCTGGAAGCTGTATGCCTACCTGGAGTGGCTGCTTGGTAACATTGATGATGCCAGAAAAGTATTTGACACAGCTCTTTGTGCAGCTGGAGCAGAAGGATTGAAGAGTCCCCAGCTCTGCAGCCTCAGTCTGCTTTATGCTCAGCTGGAAGTTGAAATACTAGAAAGTGTAGAAGTAGCTGTTATGTCACGTGCTGCTCATATATTGACCACATTGGCTGAGGGTGGACCATATGTGCCGTATAGTGGACAAGTGTTATCAGTGAATATGTTGAAAGCTCGTAAAACATACGAGAGAGCACTGCAAGATCATTTAAGTAAAACGCCAGTTTCTGATCAGGGTCAGGGAAGTGATGCTGATCAGCTGGTTAACTTGGTTGGTTGTTATGCACTGTTCCAGTATTTGACTGTTGGGATTGATGCTGCAGTATTGATATATGCACAGACTTCAGAAAAACTTGAAGTTTCTGGTCCACAGAAAGGTGAAAATAATGAAGAGAATTCTGGCATTCAGAATCTTCCCACTGCTCTCGAAGGTGTCAAACTGCTGCATACGAATTTACTGAGATTCCACATGAAAATCAGTATTTATCCTTTGAATCCTCTGCGGGAGGCACTAACGGAGGCTCTGAAATGGTATCCTAGCAACCAGTCTCTTTGGAGGTCATATATCCACATTGAAAGGAAGTCTCACAGTGCTAGCAAAGCACGAAGATTTTTTGATGGTGTCACAAGGTCTACTAAGTCTTTAGAGCCATGGCTGTTTGCAATCCAAGCAGAGCAGATGAGAAAAAAACTCACTGACAATGTCCAGAGGTAGTATCTTGCAGCTCTTTATGTTTATGCTTTTTTTTTTTAATCTGTCTAATCATTTAACAGAGGAGAAGGAATGCCATCATAGTTCTCGTTTTGCAGATGAAGCTGTAGGTGGGTAAGGTTATTTGTTTGAGAGTCAAGTGGCAGAATCCTACATAGCATTAAAAGACCTAGGTGATAGTCTCGTGTTCTTTCTGCTGGATCACACTGTGTGTGGCTTTGTGTTTGATTACTTGTGACTGATATCGAGATGGTACACACTTCTTGAAGTATTTTTTAAATAACTAAGAGCCTGCTTAGATGGCCAAGATAGACCCTGTGAGCTTATAAATTGCTGCATTTTAATATTACAGCGACAAGGAGTGTAATACAGGGCTACGCTGCAGTTTCTGACTGAGCTCGCTGCCCTGCTTTACTTCTGGATCACAGGATACAGTTGTGGCAGATCTGTTTCCATAGTGAGTAGTTTTCATATGGGGTTGTTGCTAGGTAAAAGAGGTGAGAAATTTCCTTAATTCACAGTCTGGTCTGGGCCCAGATTTTTTGCTCACAGTGCAGGAGATGTGGGGAACAGAGGTATGCATTCATTCTTAAAGCTCAGTCTGTAACAGTTGTCTAGCCATTGCTTGGAGTTACCTATATGCTGCTACATTTGTATCTCTAATAGCGTTGGCAGTTTGGTTCTTTGTGTCTGCACATAGCAACAGTGATTTCTAGGAAAGTGTTATCTGGAAGCTTTGCATAGCTGTAAGCTTACAATATTCACACTTGATGAAATTACAGAATTATCAGTATACTTTCAAATGACAGTGCGCCCACTGCTTTGATTGCCACAGTCTGGCAAGAGGCATGCATGCATGATAGTGACATTCCTGAGCTGTCAGTGTATGTCATCCTAAATTGTAGTAAGAATTCTACAGACACAAAATGTAAAGAAGAATTGTAATTTAATTTATTGTTAATTACAGACTGACACTGTGATAGCTTTTCATTATTGGTACTGGAAACTGATGTTAAAATTCCAGAACAGTTATTTTCTCTGTGACATTTAGTTTCTTTCCAGATTGTTCTCTGCTAGTGTATCCTTTCCTATAGGTTATATTTTTGTAGGGATAAGTTGGATGTTGCAAGAGGAGAGCTGAACTACTGCAACAGAGAGAGAAATGTCCTGTCAGTCATGCATAAAACTACTGGTTTATAATGTTGTGACAAACCAAGAAAATGTCTGTACTATGTGGGACTTATTTCCTATTCTATTTTGTATTTCTGCTTGTTTAAGTGCTTGGTGTTCATTCAAAGACATGAACACAAAGAGTAAAGCAGTAGTCTGTGTAAGCCAGTGTGAGGTACAGTGCTTTAAATGTCTGACTCCCTGCAGAGTGAATTTCATCGTTTTCCCTCACGGAAAGTTTGAGAAGAAATACAACCTCAGAGTCCCTTGAAAAAAGAGGCAAGTTAGGAGCAAGTGTTAAGGGTGGGTAGAGGAACAAGCTGGCAGGCTGAGAGAGTGCACACAGGCAAAAGTGATGTTGCCATGAGTGCTCCAGGCTGTCTCTTCAAGCTTAAGCATCAAAAATAAGCCTGTCTGTATTGGCTGTAGATAGAAATCAGTGCTTCAATGAAAGATACATGTCTGCTTTTGTATTATACCTGGGACTTCATGGATTTGAAACTCTGGGTGAAAAAGCAAATTGTTATTGTAATCATGGTTAAGATCCAGAGCTGTAATCTAAGCTTTGATCCAAGACCAGTGTATGGTCTTACAAAGGTGACGGGTAAATTTGAACAGGCTTGCCTGGGCACCAGAAGGTGGTGTACTGACATAGACTTGAATTGGGTTTGAGGTGCTATGCCAAGCTTGGAATGATAAAGGATCTTGAGTGAAGACTAAGGTAAGTGTTTTAAGTTCATATGGTAGGGATTATTGTACTCAAAGATAAATTATCTCCTCCAGTTGGGCAGGGTTAATTTTTCAACATGCTAAAAGAATTTTCACAAGAGTGATTTTACTGATTTTCCTATTTAGAGCTGTGTTGACTAGATTAGCAAGTGCTAAAAGTCTGCTTTATGGCATTCACAATTTGTAGCATGAAATGCAAAAAAATGGCAGTACACAGTGCTGTGTGAACAGAGAGTACATTAATCTTTGTGATCTTTTACCTGGGTGTGGTCCTTTAGCTTGGATTTAAGGGATTCTGGTTTCTTTTTTCCTCTGTGTTTCAGGGCAGATGTTGGTGTAGTACATTCTACTATTCCTGAAACTGGACTAACAAATCGGATTGTAGCTCTGTTTGAACACGCGGTGCAGAGTGAAAATGGTACCCATTGTCCACTGCTGTGGAGAATGTATTTGAACTTTCTGGTAAGAAAAGTAGTAGTGGGTTTGGGTTTGGTTTGTTTGGTGTTTTACTGCTTTTGGTTTGTTTTTTTAATCATATTTGAAATTTCTTATGAACACATTTACAGTACTGTAGATTGAAAAGGAATACTAAATGCTGACATACCTCATGATTTGCAAGGTGATAATGTTTGAATTTTCATGCTTTTATTGCTGGGAATATTAATGAAATGTAATGCTATGGATTAAAAAGAATAATAGCTTCTGGCACTGAAGCGTTAACATAGATGCAGGCAAGTTATTGTGTCTGCCATCTTACATAGACAAAAAATACATCATAAGATGTCAATAGATGGATTGCACCCACTCTTAGTAAGAATATAAAAGTAAGTGGGCAGGGAACAGCAGTCAGCACACTGTGAAATATGCAGAAGGTAGGGGAAGGAGAAACTTGGTTCTTCTGCTGTTGGCTTATCCAGGTCCCTTTGAATAGCCAAGAGCCATGAAGATGAGTAAGGGGCTGGAACATGTATTGTACAGAGAGCAGCTGGGAGACTTGTGATCGTTCAGCCTGGGGAAATGAAGGCTCCTGGAAGATGCTGTCCCTGTGTATAAATACCCCATGTGAAGGTGTGAAGACAGAGCCAGACTTCTCAGTGCTGCTGAGTGACAGGACAGGAGGCAATAGCCACTAATTTAAATACAGAAATTTCCATTTAAGCATAAGAAAACGCTTTTTACTGTGTGGGTGATGAAACACTGAAACTGGTTGTGCAAAGGTTATGGAGTCTTCATCATGGAGATACTCAAAACCCAAATAGACATGGTTTTGAGCAGCCTGCTTTTGCTGACCCTGCTTTGAGTGAGCAGAGGGGTTGAAGCAGATGGCCTCCAGAGGTTCCTTCCAAATTCAGTGATTCTGTGAAAATGTAGAGGCAGAATGCTACTGACAGCTCTTTGCAGAGCTGCAAAAGATGTGTGTGCATCTGAGCGCACAGCTCTGGCAGCAGGGTTTGCAGCGAGTAAAGTGCATTGCAGTTCAGTAAAGGAAGATCATGGCACACCAGAACAGCACAAGTGTCTTCTACAGCCAGTGGTTTTTAAAGTAGCCAATTAAAAAGATTTCTTCACAAGAAATCGGAATTATTTCTTCCTGTAACTGGTGTGACTGAAGCTGGGGAGGTTGTTCAGCACTGACCTCTGCTACTCTTCTCTTCATGGTAGCTGTATGCTCTATACTTGTATCACATAGTGGAATGAGTACTTGGAGGAGGAGGTTTTAACTCCTTCCAGATAGATGCTAATTTGACATATCCATATGTAAGGGTCTTAACAAGCTTCTGCTGAGTAAGGGGATGTGTGTGGCATGATCTCTCCAGTGCACAAAAGTAATGTATTATTGCCTTCAGTGTACTAAAGATACTCCTGTGTAGTATAATAGGTGTAAATTTTGCTAAATGATTTGCACTCCTGCAGTATTGTTGTCAAATAATAGGCAAAGGTACTGACTTTAACTGAAATACTTGGCAGAGGCTCTTTCTGCTTATCCTTGTTGTGTTACTTGTCGTACAAGTAAAGCCCTGCAACTCCTTAAAATCATCTCTTCGATGACTTTGGAGAGTGTAAGCAGTATCACGAGTGTAACCTGTCAAGTTGCATAACAACCACAATATATAGTGATAAGGATTCCTCTGCAGAACGCTGAGCTTTCCAGCAGTAGTTTCTTTGTCTCAGAGATAATTGTTTCATTATTCTAGCTATTACTGCATTGAAACATGAACATCTTTTTTTCTTTTCTCACACAGGTTTCAGTAGGAAAAAAAGAAGAGAGTAAAGGATTATTTTATAAAGCCCTTCAAAACTGTCCTTGGGCAAAGGTAAGCACAAAAAATATAAACCTGGCATCATACTTTAATTTTTGAAGTTCTGTATTTGAAAAAAAAAAAAAAAGGAAGAAAAGACACCAGTAGTTGTTGTAATGAGTTACGTTCAAATAAAAGGAGAGGTTTCTGCAGAGGTACTGTAAGATTTTCTGCAAAGAAGAGACGCATCCAAAATGGTAACAGTGGTCAGTGCTGTTTGCATTTCAGAACAGAAGGGTGTTGTATTGCATGAGGCAGGGAGATAATTCCCCTCTGGATGAAGTGATCATGTCTTTCAGACGCTGTTACATTGTGAGCATAGTAGTAACAAATATATAGGCAAATAAACTTGAATCTGGAGGTTAGTATCAGAAACTATTCAGGAGCACATGCAGCTCCTCAGTAATATCTGTGTGTGCTGTAAATGCTCCAGCGCCTCTTGACCTACGTTGTATCTTTTGGAGTGAAATTATTTAGTAAAACTTGGAAAAGACTTGATTAGACATTGGTGTCACTGCAGATGTAGTAATTCTGTTTGTGTTATTTTAAAGTAGCATATGCAGCAGACGGGGTGATGCCAATCTCTCTCTGGTGACCAGTGATAAGACATGAGGAAATGGCATGAAGCTGTGACAGGGGGAAGTTCAGATAGGGAATTAGGGAAAGGTTCTCACTGAGAAGGTAGTCGATCACTGGAACAGCTTCCCAGAGAGATGGTCATGGCACCGAGCCTGTCAGAGTTCAAGGAGCATCTGGATGATGTTCTTAAGTCATATGGCTTCATGTTAGGTAGTCCTGCAAGGAGCGTGGATCCTTATGGCTCCCTTTGAGCTTGAGATATGAGATTTCTGACATTGTTTCTATGGAGTTGTTTGTGTATTGCTATGCTTCTATATACTATGTTTCTTACTGTGATAGAAAGATGGCATAGAAAATGTTCTCATTGTCTTTCTAGGTGCTCTATATGGATGCAGTGGAGTACTTCCCTGATGACCTGCAGGAGACACTTGACCTAATGACTGAAAAAGAACTGAGAGTGCGGCTGCCTATGGAAGAGCTGGATCTGCTATTAGAGGTTTAAAAAAAGGACTGGAGATGAGCAGGGAAAGTACAGAAGATAGTTCCAAAATGAACAGTTGGACCTATCTCTTTCCAAACAGGAACTCTGTTGGGACTGGATTCTATGTTTGTTTTTTTTTGGTTTTTTTTTTGTTTTTTGTTGTTTTTTCTTAAGATTTTTCTGGGGATTTTTTTGGTTGGTTTTCTCTGTATTTTTTTTAAGCTTTGATATACATTGCCAAGCAAATGGAGTTCTGTTAGCTGCAAGTACTCTGGAGTCAAATACTGCATTTTGCCCACAAAAATATATCCATTTCTCTGAAGTATTGCTGGCTCCTACAGAAGGATACCCTCATATAAATAGCCTCCTGCTGAATGTTGCCCACACTTCTTATTCTGTTGTTTGAAATTACATTCCCTAGAGTTCAACAGAGTCAGTACATGCCAACTATGGTTTGGTGAGCAGCGCAGGAAATAAACATCTGCCAAATAGATGCTTCACTGTCCTCCAGTTGGCAGGCTTCAGTAGTTTTGTTCAGCTTGGTATGCGTGTGCGTGTATACATAACTAGAGTCAAACAGCCATTATATCTGTATATAAACTGTTAGTACAGGCTGAATCTCTGCTTGAGCAGGCACCTAGTTTGGGCTCGTATGTTTTGACAGATGACCCTTTTAATATGAATATTTATGAAAAATATACCTATTTGAAAAATCAAAAGGAACTTGAATTATTTTTATTTCTTAATTTAATAAACTGTGATTGTATTAAAACTGAAATTGTATCCATAATGCATCTCTAAGCAGCTCACTTTTAAACAAGTTTTTTAACTAATTACTCGCTTTTGACCTAAATACAGGCAATCATCATAAGGGAAGTAGACGTCTAGTCTGTATTTAATCCTCACCAAAGGTGGCAAAGCAGTCAAAACATGAATATTAAATTAATAGTTTCTATTCCAAGAGTCTTGAGGCAAGCTCCTAGAGAAGTAATATGAAATATAGTAAATTTAAAGATATGGTTAAACTGTGATACTTACAGATTTGTTTTGTAAGACTGACTGTGCTGAAATATGTACCAGGCTGTTTAACATCCATGCTCTTGAGACCCAAATACTCAGAAACTGGATCTCATCTGAAAAGAGGGCACCTGCAGCCACTGAATAGCCAGAAGTGTTTCAGAGGCTTTTCAGGGGAAATCTGTGGCTAACAGCACTAAGGCCATTAGGATCATCCAGCTGGTGAAATTTGACTACATGGAAAACTGTGGCTTGACAAAGCCACACCAACCTGTGGGTCAGGTTTCCCTGTAGCACCACAATATAAGATATAGTACATCTTAGTTGAGGCTGCACTTCATTTATTTAATTTCTAAAATGATTTTAAACATTACAGGCAAGATGTGCAATTCTAAATGGCATTACAGCACTTCCTGAGAGCCATGTAACACTGCTGTGGCTGCAAGTGATGCTGGTTTTGCTACAGAAGTAACTGATTAGGCTGTGTAAAAAAAAAAACTACGTATTTTTAAAATCTGTGCTTCTTTCAGGAATTTGAGAGCCCCTGAACTGGAGGTGGGAGTCACTCTGTGCACTGAACATCACAAATTGTGTGTGGTTTTCTCTCCCATCAAAGTGGAATGCCATTTCCTGTAAAGGGACACAGAGATGGGGGAAGCTCAGTTGTGCTCCTGCTTGTGTTTCTCTTCAAAGGCATGGAATCAGAGCAGCTCAGATTGCAAGAGACCTTGGAAGATCATCTGGTCCAACCTTTAGGGGGACAGGTGAGGTCATCTAGCACTGCACAGCCCAACTGCACTGTGGAAATTGCAGTAACGGAGGCAGGAATGACTCTGGTTTCAGACACTTTTCTGTACATCCCCTCCTCAGCCCTTCTTTTTGCACAGCTTCAGACTGTGCAGCACTGGTGCTGCCCCTTCTCTTGGGGTGCTTGGAGGCTGCTCCCTTCCTGGAGCCAGTCTTGCCTTGTAATTGAAACTCCAGTGGCTTTTTTGTGCCCTTATGGGAATAAGTGAGTTCACTGTTCACTCGCTCCTGATCTTTATTACCTTTGTCTTGATCTTTGTGACTCAAGTTCAAAAATGCTGGAGAAAATGGCAGAAGTTAAATTCTGTTACTGGTGTGGCAGACAGCATACCAGGACCCAGTTCTTGGTTTAGCTTAATACATTGCAGCTCCTTCAGTTGAACCAACTGCTTTGTAGTTGTTGCTTCCAGCCAGCATTACCAGCCATGTCCCAAATAAAAAGCCTTGCTTGCCACACATCTGAGCTCTCCAGCCCCTCCAGCGATGATGAGATCAACAGCCATGATTAGAAAGTGCTAAAACATGGCTGGCTGTGACCTTTCCAAGGAGACAAATCTCCTAAGGTTTGTAAGAATGGGTAATAAAACTCTGCTTGTTGTTTTTCTGTGCATCTCCAGCTGAAAACCAACTCTATTTCAGGGTTCCTGTCATCCGGATTCAAGACTCCATTCATCTGTAGGGTTCGTTTTTAACAACGAACCACATAATTTTTACATGAAACCCAAAATCTCTTGGCCTTGGCGCTGCCATTGTTGCTGTAGCACTGGCAGTTACCAAAAGGATTGATGTGTGTGCAACTCCTGATGTCTTACTGGCCAGCATTTGTTCCACAGAAAGTTTCCAGAACAAAGAGTGCACACTGGTTGGCTGTCTTCTGTGTATGGGACTTTACATAAACCTTAAGAGTCAACAGCTGGAAATTAATTACTTGGAACTTAACAAAAGTGCATTACACGAAGTACTTTATAAGCAGTACGTGCATTGCCACCACCTAGCAAAATAGAAATCCAGCTCCTACGGGGACGGAGCTGCAGCCATGAGTTTGTTCAGAGGGCCAGAATTCATTTTAAGGTTATGCTGCAGAACACCATGTATGTGACTTTTGAACTTCTCCCTGCAGAGCACCTTGGCCTTAGTAGTACCTACATCTTGCTGTGGACAGCACTAGGCTGTAGAACCTCCTACCGTCTTGGTTTCTATTGGAGACATCTAACTCAGTGAAGAAAGCATGCTTGTAACGGTAATCCTGTTGGGAAAAACAAATGTATCAACTCTGTAATACTGCCTTACCCAAAAGTGTTTAGATCTTTAAGAATACAAATAAGTGCCCACTTTACTTTCTTGTAAGCACAAGTGGTAAAAAAAAGCTGGTCTTTTTAAAGCATATTTGAATGTTTTTCATTAATTTATATGTATATGACATAGGACAGAGAAGGGACTGTAGGCCTAGTTCCTTGGCCCCTAAGAAGAGATACAGAATGGTAATTAAAACTTGAACAGCGGCAGCAATTAGCACTTGCAAAAGACTGGTGCCTCACAGTGACTGAGAGGTGGGGCTCCTGCCTGTACCGTGTGGTGTGGAGCACCAAGGCAAGCACTCGTATGACATGAGCACTTCAAGTAAGTCTTACAAAAGCAACAGCCGGTGCCCTGTAAAGAGCAGGCCTTTGTTTCCCAATAAAACATTTATTTGAGTTGGACTGCTCTGGTAGCAAAGTGTTACACTGACTGAAAACCCCCAGGAGCAATTAACCTCTTCAAGAATGACAATCAGCCAGACTGGTTTTACATCATAGATATCAACTGTCATTAACGCAGAAAGAGTTCCTGGGAGGCCCCAAAAAGGCAGGTGACTTAAAGATACAGTCCCTCGGGGGTTCCCTCCTGCTTCTTATAGAGAACATTCTCTTTAGACTTCTTGAAGTCTTCATTTGTTACTTTCATTCGCCGTTCCCTCAGAGCCATCAGTCCAGCTTCTGTACAAATGGCCTGCAACAGAGAGCAAGAGTAAGTCACCTTTCTGCACAGCCCCTTCAAGCCCCACCTGAGGGCAGCAGCACCTCCACGCTGCTCTGAGTGACTCCAGCAGAAGGGAAGAGCATTAACAAAACTTGCATTCTGATGTATGATACTGTTCAGGAGCACTGAAGCACACAGAACACTGGATAAAGCCATCCTCCTGCAGGCAAGAGTAATGCTGCTGTAACAGAAAAGCACTTTCATAACCATTCTACTTTCCTCTTGTGAGGACATGCACCTCCAGCTTGGGTAATGTGGACTGTATTACGCTTCTGCACTGAGCTGAGAGTAATGTCATATGTAGTACCTCTGGTAAGGGCCCCAGCTACTTCAGAAAAGCAGACTGCTTACACATCTGAACCTGCTTAAGCTACAGCTGCATTTTTAGCTGCTTGCAACTGAATCCGTAAGATGCATAGGATAAGAAGCAATTTTAAGTAATAACTAAAAATCTTGCATCTTTGTGCAAGATTCCACATTCCCCTTCTAATTTCCACTTTTAACAGGTAACAGATACGCGCTATTCTCAACAGAAGCTACATCATTACAGGTTTGATAAATTCCCCCTGTGTAAAGCCAAGTGCATGGCACTTATAAAAGGTATTTTAAAGCCAGCCAACTGTCCCCCAGCGATGGAGCCACAGGTCATTAGAGAACAATTTCAACTGTTAGGTTTTGAATGCAGTAAAAATGAGGTCCAATTTTTGTGTTTTGAAGTATAAACAATGGTCATGTATACTGACCTTAATATCTGCGCCACTGAGATCGTCTTTTGCCATTATCAGCTCATCCAGAGTCACATCATCTGCCAATGTCATCCTGCTTGTGTGAATCTGAAAGATTCGTTTCTTGGTCTTCTCATCAGGTAGGGGGAACTCTATTTTCCTGTCGATACGTCCTGTGCAAAAGGAAAGCTCAGGCTTAGGGTTTTTGCACACAGCCACTGGGAAGAGCATAAGAAGAACATCTCAAGGTGAGGCTGACAGCAACTGTTCTTTCCCATCACAATCTATCAATCACATCTTGGTGCAGAAAGCAAGATCAGACCACTGGTCATGAAAGGAAGCCATAGAAGCTGACAGATGCCACACTGCTGGAAAAGCCTGTGTCACTGCAAGTAAGTAACAGACTCCTCACCTGGGAAACATGAGCCTCCCCCCCCCAAAGCACCATAGTATAAGGATTAATCAAATACTTAAAAGAGTTTTGTAATCAATTTCATTCTACTCTGAGATGACACTTAGCTCTCAAATTTGTATTTCTGCCACATTCACATACACAAACCACCATGGCAGCTTCCTCTCCCTGTGTAACCAACATCCTAAAACCAAAAAAAACCCAAAGAAAAAAACCCAAACCCTCAACTGATGGCAGCAGGTTTTGCCTGAAGAGTTGTGCTGTGAGCCCCTGCCAGATGTTTCCTGTGTGTCAGCAGGGGCTTTGGATGTTCTGGTACCCATTGTTCCAGTTTAATGAGCAATCTTTTTAAAGACATTTTCCATCTCTGGGTCATTCCTGCTTTTCTTCAGTTTTACAGCATCTTCTCTAAGGGGTTGATGGCACCACTTACAATACCCCAGAAGATCTTACACAACAGCAGCTCTGTCAGTTGCTAGACATGCCCCGATTGCTCACAGGATGGTTGTAATGTAAATAGCTGACAGGTGTAGGATGCTTCCTTCCAACAAGTTTTAGATCATCTCAGCTTGTCTTTCAATACTGATGTAACAGTATCTCCTCTGGGCTCTCCTGGCTGTGATTTGGAGGAGTGTGGTGACAGAACCAGACTTCTTTTAAAAACCACAAACACACCTCAGCACCTCCACACTGTGGAGGTTTGTATAAACCCTGCAGTCCAGTGAGTGCTCAGAGCAATTTTTGCCAATTTCAGCTTAAATTACCTTTTCTTTCTATCTTACCTCTATTACTTTAGGA